ATCGAAACCTTCGCATATAATCTAATACTTGTACGCTAAATTTGGATCATCTAACTTCAACAGTATTCAAGTAAAATCGGGCTTTTGAGAAATCGGAAGCAGATTAAGTACTACTTACGGTTACCGGAAATCGCTAAACAATTTTAAGAAAACTACAAATTGGATATAGTACTTATTTATGAAATGTTAACTGAAACGTTACTCAATTTATCGTGTTAACATGCATACACACAAACACACAGGGAGACACAACATTTCCGACTCATGAAGGTACTCAACGTCTTGATTTGTCACGTTTTGACCTCTTCTAGTATACCAGAAAGTAAAAAAGGTATTAGCTTTAATTGTACATTTGAGATGAAGCGAGGGAGGTGGCGCATATATATATATATATATATATATATATATATATATATATATATATATATATATATATATAAGATCGATATTATTATATAGGCTATACAAATTATATATATATATATATATATATATATATATATATATATATATATATATATATATATATATATATATATATATATATATATATATATATATATATATATGTGTGTGTGTGTGTCTGTGTGTGTTATAGATACTGCTCCGGATAATGCCCAAAGTTATCTCGGTGTCATACATTAAAGACAACAAATAAACGTCAGTTGTCAGTGACTTATCTTTCCTGCCACCCGTCAGAAGTTTAAACACGTGACATGCTGATGGCACTTGAACCGTAAACCTTCGCAGTGCTCTAGGGGCACGTGACTACTGACGTCACAAACCTTTACGTTTCGTTGACAGAATTATGACACAACACAGCACACTACCACAGTGAACTCATAAACGTACGCATAAAGCTGAGGAATTTATAGAATACAAATATACACGCACACATAACCTAACCCATATATATATATATATATATATATATATATATATATATATATATATATATATATATATATATATATATATATATATATATATATATGCTATACAAGTATAAATAGGCTGTATAAATATGTATGTATGCTATATATATATATATATATATATATATATATATATATATATATATATATATATAATAAGCCTATATCTATCTGTCTCTCTGTATATGTATATATATATATATATATATATATATATATATATATATATATATATATATATATAACATGCACCTATAAGAAAGAATATACAAACGCTAGCACCGTTACGTCATGCTGTGGGTTTATCCTACCCGTTTCTGCAACATTAAGGTCAGTCATGCGCTCAGTATGAAAGTTTGGGACCAAGGTACGCACATTTAGCCATTATTTAAGTATATAAAATGTGAATACTTAGAACTTTACTATACAATATAGAACGGATAGAATGTAGAATTACTTTTTTTTTCGGAATAAAATTTTGTTTTAATAAAATCTGTGAAAGTTTTAAACAAGCCTTAAATAACCACATTGCTCTAAATAATGTGTTTTATTTTAATTTCCATGGTATTATAAATTATACTGTCACATTTTCTCCCCCCTCCCTCCTCATCGTCGCAAGAATTCGACTCTTGCAGGGGTATGGTTTTATTTATGAACGACGCCTAGTTTCTTTTTATGTGCTGATTGTAAAAATATAAACGAAGCAATTTTAACATCGGTGGTGAGATATGATTTTAATAGTGTGTTACTAGGTGAAAAAAATGTGCTAAAAACACATCAAAACAAATAATACTTAGTTTTGACAAACAATATTTAAGTGTGCACATTTCATAAACAATATTTAAGCACACATTTACAACAAAAAATACTTACAGTTACTGGGTGTACAAAGTACGACAACTTACAGCACACATTAATAAGAGACAGTATGTACAGAATACGTTCATAACAAACTACTTGTTACAGATAAAGTTTATAACAGAACTTACAACATACGTTTACTACAGTGCTACACCTACAACACCACAGATATTGAACAGCAATGCGTTGTAACTTGCCGACTCAACTTTTATAGCAATTGGTTTTTCAAATTTAGTTCCCTAATTTCCAGGGACGTAATTCTGTTCCTGGTTGGTTGATTGTCTTTTGAACTAAGAAGAATATTGGATTTCTTTGTGGTGATTCGTGTCTGTTGGTTGTACAAAATTTTAATGGAGCGATTCTATCAAACCTTGCACTAAGTGCATATTCGATAACGACCATAAAATATTTAACTTCAATCTAAATATTTATTTATACTTTAGAAGGGGAGACCACTCGATGGTTGTGTTCAATGTGATTGCCTAAACAAACTTTTCTACAGATCTAATACTATAGCAATAGCGTTGGTCGCTCAAAAATCTATTTTACACATTCAAGCATTCTGCGATTTAATATTACATCTAAAGGAAGAAAATAAATATATTGCATTTAATAGAATGTTTATTAAAACATGTTTACAAACGCTTTTTAAATTATTTTTTTTACAGCTTTCTAATGAGTGTAGCAGGACTAATTGTATTGCTTCAATTGGTTAATGTAACTAGATTTTTGTAATTAAAAAAAAACCAATCATTTATAGGTCCTGTTGCTTTTGCACAATAATGCTGGAAAATGTATGATAGATTTTTTTCTTGAGCACTCGTGGGGGAAGCAATGGCCTAATTAATGAATCCGATAGTTAGGCCATACAGTTCTCGTGACTAAAACGAGTTTGAACCATGATCTTAGTCGAACAGCACGATAGATTGTCCCATAAAAAAATAGTAATGAAGAAAAACATTCACTATAAATGTAAAATAGAGATCTACCTGTTTTAGATTTGACTCAGACGTTTCTTACATTGTAATTAAAAGTTAGGGGTAGGATGTACAAGGTGGCATGCACCTAGGTGACGATGGGGTGCATTGAGTGTGTATGTGTATGAGAGTGGGGTAACGAATATGTGACTTGCAGCATACATGTTGCAATAAGGGGACATGGGGAGTACACAGAACCAATGTAATAAAACATCTGTATTTTCACTTTAAATTTAATCTATGATACAGTTCAATCTATACTATTAAAAGATTCTGGTTCCTGCTCTAAAGGCACAATCAAACAGATGAAGAGTAAACAATGGAACTGAAGGTCACACAAGACAATATTACAACAGACAAGTTTACACAAGACAAGTTTACACAAGACAATATTACAACAGACAAGTTTACACAAGACAAGTTTACACAAGACAATATTACAACAGACAAGTTTACACAAGACAATATTACAACAGACAAGTTTACACAAGACAAGTTTACACAAGACAATATTACAACAGACAAGTTTACACAAGACAAGTTTACACAAGACAATATTACAACAGACAAGTTTACACAAGACAAGTTTACACAAGACAATATTACAACAGACAAGTTTACACAAGACAAGTTTACACAAGACAATATTACAACAGACAAGTTTACACAAGACAAGTTTACACAAGACAATATTACAACAGACAAGTTTACACAAGACAATATTACAACAGACAAGTTTACACAAGACAATATTACAACAGACAAGTTTACACAAGACAATATTACAACAGACAAGTTTACACAAGACAAGTTTACACAAGACAATATTACAACAGACAAGTTTACACAAGACAAGTTTACACAAGACAATATTACAACAGACAAGTTTACACAAGACAATATTACAACAGACAAGTTTACACAAGACAATATTACAACAGACAAGTTCACCTTTGACACACATTTAAGTGGAATGTGATGTTCTACAATTTTTGTCTAAAGCAGTAGAAAGATTCAATATTCAGCTTTAAATTATTTCGACTTGTCATTTAATAAGGTTATAAAATGATTGTTATATACCAGGGGTCGGCAACCTTTTGAAGCGGAAGAGCCAAGTTACAATTTTCAAAATTTCCCTGGTTTTAAAGAGCCACTAACATTTGTTTATTTCAAATATTTTATTTTTTTATTAAGATTATTAGTATTTGTTTAAGGAGCTGGAGAGCCGCATCTTGATATCAAAAGAGCCGCATGCGGCTCGCGAGCCACAGGTTGCCGACCCTTGTTATATACCATCTTGCATTCAAAACAAAAGTCACTTTGATCCAAATGAGTTCAGAGAAAGTAGAGACAATTGTAGTACAGTGGTACCTCAACATACAAGTGCCCTACCACATGAGATATGTATTATTGAGAAAGTGATGTTTTACTTTGAAATATGTAAATATTTTGAGATAAGAAGAACTGGATCAATGAATTGGCCAGCTAGTATAAATACAAATTAAGCCAAAGTAACAGGAGATGAACAGTAGCATTTAAGATCAATGAAGTTCAGTGAAGTTTAATAACTTTGAATTAAGTGTAGGGGTAAAGTGTAGCATTAATAGTGTAACAAGTGAGTGTATTTAAATTACCAAATGAGTTTGCATTAACAGTGTAGCGAGTAAAGAACAAGGTAAAGCCTCACCAACCTGCATCTCCTTCAACATATTCCATAAGCTTAAGTTATCTCAATTCCAAATTATACACACTTTATGAGGCTTGTTTATTTCCTTACATTCTCTTTTATTATGGTTTTATACAATATTTGTCATTTATAAATACATTTTTCTAATTCAAAACATGTAACAAAAACAACTGGGGTGACAATTCAGGGACTGGAACAGATCAATGGCAATTTAATGGGGCAAATTGCTTTAATTTACAACTAATTTCATGTCCAAGCAAGGTTACAGAACATTTTAAATTTGTATCTCAAGGTACCACTGTGTATGTTCATTAACATTTTTCCTTTAACCTTATTTATTTCACATTGTTTAACTTTCCAAAAGAGAACTCCAATTACTTGTTGATTTCCTTAAATGTGACTCGTCTCCCCTTAATTTATTTAAAAACGCAGGATGATAACTACATATTATTTTTTTTTTTACCTATTTTCAAAAACAAACAGACAGCAGCAACGTTTTAAAACTTATTCTGGGATTAAACTTCACAGATGCACAAGAAATGACTTAGCAAAACATTTTTATTAAAAAAATCCTTTACCAAAACATGTTAAATTTCCACTTTTCTTTACATCCTAACCAACAGCTAGATTTTGTACAGAGAACTGATGTAACCCATTACCTCACTATATTACACTACCAAAATACAAAATGTAAAGCTTCCAGAGCTTCATAGTAAAATAGCTACTCTACCCAACTTGCCTAGTACAGTCCTGCATACGCATTACAATTTCACAACACTGCACTGTTCTTGATTTTATTTACAGGGAGATAATTTAAATATCATACATAAATTAAGGCCTCAGTTATAAGTAACAAATATTTGTTTCTAGTAAAAAACAAAGATTATCTCTGGTCTACAATGGTCCTACTCATTCCATCTGTGATTTTTCCTGCATTTTCATCATCAAGCTGTGGACACAGGTCACCATTTTCTATATTTCCATTTTCTTTCGATTCTGTTTCTGATAGGCTGGGATTCTCTGTGCCCACACAATCCTTCACAGGGGACCAGGTTCTTTCTGACAGGTCAGAGTTCAAAAGGCCCCTCCACTTCTGACGCAGCTCTTCTGTCTCATTGTGTGGCTCTGCAAGCCGTCCGTCATGCTGACCATTGACAACAAGGTAGCAAACAGCTGCACTTTGTTCAGCCAGTTGCTTCGCTCGTTCCCTGTTTGAAAAAAGTACAATGGAACATTTAAAACAAGCCTCCTGTAACATAAGAATTTTTTTTTCCTTTTCAGGGTAATTTCAAGTTAAGCAATCAATTATGTTAATGAAAGTGAACTTCTGAAGTTAAAATAAAAGACTTCACAATGAAGCAATCACATGTTCCCTACAAAGTTTGTTACTGGATCATATAAAATGATATTGATATGGTGGTCAGAGAATTATGAGATTATATACTGGCATAGTTAAACTCAACCAGGTGTGGATGCTACATTTTACATTAGCAATTTAACTTTTCATAATTTAAGACAGTTCTCTAGCGGTACAGTGCTAGACTGCTAACCCGAAAGTCTTGAGCTCAAATCCAGGTTAGGTCAGTAGAACGTCCGTAAGTCCCCCCAGCTCTGATGGGTACCTGACTCACGTTAGGGAAACAAAGGCAGCCGGGCAAAGTGCTGACCACATTATCCCCTTGTATGCAGAGGTCATTGAAACAGATGAACTCTAATACATCTGCCCCATGTGTCTTTGGCACAAATAGGAAAAGATGATGATCTATATTCATATCAGAGTACTGTATGATAATTACAGTTAATTTACAATCAAAATTTAATCATTTTAACTTTGCGTCAGTTTTACTGTATGATACATCAACCTTAAAAAATGGAGCCAGCTGTGAAACTAAAACTTTGCCAATCATGTTTTAAAACAATGAAACCAGCAATTTGAAACAGAAAGTGAAACAAAAATATTTACCAGAAAGGATTTGTGTACAGCTTCTGGTCAACCAAAACAGTACTGTGAAAAAATCTGTCGTCAGGTCGTTCAACCTGAAGTTTCAAATTGTCAACCACAACCATTACTTATCTTGAACATTACTTAAAACTTAAGATACATAAAATGTTATCTTGTTGCAATATAATAGCATTTGAAGTAAATTAAAAAGAACCTACTGTTGTATAAACTGGCTTTCCTTTTTGACATTTCTTGCAATAATTGTTTAAAATTTGCTTAGGTGTCATTGTCGTCGAATAAATTCTCCTGAAATAAAATGGAAATTAGTATACAATTATAAACATGCTGTAAACAGAATTTCAATTGCACTGCTATTTTTAACTCAACTATAAAAAGGAATCAATTATATTTCATGTAATCTTAAGTGAAAATGTTACACCCTACTTGTCAAACCTAACAGGGAGTTCAATGACCTCCAGCCCATTTTCAGCTTTTCTTTTTTTAACTCCTCTGCAGTCTCCTCCTGCTAGATCATTCAACTGTTTTTCTTTTTCCCGCCTTTTTTGTAAAATTGTTTTGTATTCTTCTTGCATGCACCAAATGTCTCTAAAAAACATACAATTATATTACATGTACTAGTACATACATCATAGTTATTATTTTAAACAGGGTATGTTTATCTTACAAGTATTTATAAACGTTGCATTAACTAGTATTAATGACTACTGATCAAAACAATTATTTCATTAACAGCATGAAAAGTTAAATGCCTAACACTCAAATATAATATACTAACCAACATTTGAATATTCAGTGTAACGTACATTTCTAGTACATTGACCACCCCTAGCTTTGATTATGGCATGGTTATTTAAATATTAGGATTTCAGTCTAAAAATAACTTACAATTATAAAGGATGCTAATACTAAGTTAAACATAAACTAGAACATACGCAAAGTCTTGTAAAGATTTAGCAGTTAAAGTGCCATCAGCCTCTGGAAGCTCAAGCATTTTGTCATGTAGTATCTGCAGTACAGCATATTTTGTGTTCATCTCATTGTTGTCATACTGGAATGCCTGTGAACAAACACAAACATCACTTAGAAATAAAACCTTTATTTATATTCACAAAATATTATTATTATTCTTGTACTAAAAAAGTAATTTTGTTTCTTATGACAATTATGCTACCTCCTCTATGATATTTTCCAAGTATCTATGTTACATAGTGAAGACAGATTTGGTTAGAAATGTAGGTAAAAAATAAACTGACCACCACTTACGTAAGTGAGATAACTCTTGAGAACCTTCAAAAAATCCAATGTTCCCTCCTTTCTAAACACGGAGCAGTTCCACATGGCCGCACGAGCTAACATGACAGAGCTGGCACCTGTGCTCTTTCTAAACTCTTCAATGTCTTCATAACATGTGATTCTCTTTGACCCCCCACTGTGGAAGTATTGAATGTTATATAGACAAATACTGGAGGGTTTGTTTTAAATTTTGGAACTCAAGTCACAAAGTATCACTATTTTTCATGACTTTTGTTTCTGATAAAACTACATGTTTTTAGTTAGTAATATGCGAAAGAAACTCTAAAATGTGAAAGCCTATTAATACTAATACTTTGCATGGTAATTTCCCTATTATGGAAACAAAATAAATTAAATGATTTTCAGCTTCAACAGATAAGTGAAAATTGAAAAAAAAAACTTAACCCCTTACTTAGCAATAACAGGAATACTGACAGCATTCGCGACAGCCTTTATATAGTCATCTCTGTTAGGATCTCTCGACCTCTCTTCTTTTGTTCTACCATGGACGCCAAGAGCTGAGACACCAGTGGACTCAATAAGTTTGGCTAATTCTACGGTCTTTTCAACCTGGTATAATCAGAATTGTAACACTGCACTTTAGAACATTACACTTAGCTTGCACTAAATTAGAATATAGAACTAACATTTTAAAGGCACAATCAGGTCCAAACTTTTTTTTAAATAGAAAATTTATTGTACTTTATACTGTGGTACTTTGATAGAGCAGTTTATTATGTGAACCATTTACTTACACTAGGCAGGACACGGATCTTGCAGGTAACTGGTACATCCAGTTCATTCACTAGTGTTGTTAGAATCTAAAAGAAAAAAATTAAATCCAATGAGGTTTTGTCTAATGAATTTCTGGACACAGTTCATTCTCATGTGTTGCTAGAAGCTTATCTTTAAGGAAGAAATAACTTCAATAAGAGACCAACCAAAAAGCATTTTGGCTAATGATGTAGCTCCATCTTATGCTATATATCACTGCGCCTAATTGCTTAAATGACCAGCTAAAATAAGCTTAAATTCCTTAAAATACAATATTCAATAAATCTAGTACTTTTAGTGTATACACAAAATAAAATTTGGACTTACATCTTTTATTTTCTCAGGCTGGGTTAGAAGTGCTGCTCCCATGCCACCCTGCAACAAAAAAACACTTTTTTTTTTATCTGGGCAGCAATGTGCTGTGATTATTAGTGAAAATTAGAAAGGTTTTACTTGGCCTATTTTATTTATTTATTAACAACATACACATTTTAATATGCATCTTTAGTACAATCAGATAAACAAAATAGCATACATAATAACATCAACATACTTTCAGAAGCAAACAATTAACTTAAGTAGTTAATTATAGGGAAAGTGATAAATGTTCTGGTATGTAGGGTATAAACAGAGTTTCTTCCAGGCATCTCTTGGGGGGGGGGGGGGCTTTGCTCCCTGAAAAAATTTTTAACCCCCCCCCCCCCCCCCCCGAACAAATTGAAATTGAAATTATTTTTATAGAAAATATATACTTTTAACAGTGTCCGCCCCCGAAGAAAGTCTACCCACCCCCCGAAAATTTCAAGTGCCCTTTCCCCCCCCCCCCCCCCCCCCCGGAGAAAAAAAGTCTGGAAGAAACACTGGGTATAAAGAGGATGTGACAGTGCCTATGATTTGCTGTAGTGTCTTGCCTTTTGTTTGCACGTTATATCTGAAATAATGACTTCAAGCAACTAGACTGCTCATTTAGTCATTGATTTCCAGTTTACAACTTACAGTCCTATATCAACAACCCCCGCCTACATTACACTGATAGGTTCCACTGCTGAGCTTTATTAATCAACCATAAAGATTTTTGTAGAGCTTATGACTGCTAACCCAAAAGTCAAGAGTTCTGATCCCTGGCTCTAGTCTGTAGGACGTTCCTGAGTCCACCCAGCTCTGATGGATACCTGACTCAAGCTAGAGAAACTAAGGATGATGCACATTGTGCTGAACACACTATCCATCTGTATGCTGACATAATTAAAACAGATGAACTCTACTTCATCTGACCCATGTGTCTAGGGCACTAACGGGAAAAGATGATGATGAACAATAAATATTTACCTTAACGGAAAACTCTTTTGGACATCCCATATTGATATCAACTCCGGCAACAAGATGCTGTCTGAATAACAGAACAAACATAAGAAGAAGATAGATTTAAGAAAAAATATTTCTGCATGGTTTATATAATTTTAGAATACACATCAAAATTAAATGTAGATTTGAAACTTTCCTTAGATTTGAAACTTTCCTTACATTTTTTTAGCAGCTGCCAGTGCTCTCTTTGCATCAGCTGTTCCCTGCAAAATATTGTTTAATAAATAAGTTACATGTAAAAGCTACTTTACATATTGAATCATTAACATCTTTTTGCAATAAATATCTTACAAGCTGAAATATGATTTTGTCCTTCTCAATGGGAGATGTTCGAAAAACAACAGTACCATCTGACATGACATAGTCTGTGGTTCCGAGAAGCTCTACAGAAAAAAAAAAATTCTATATTAAAAGCTGCATAATTTTATGTAACATGCATGCACTTAACTGTTTGTAATAATAGTAATATTATTGAAACATACTTTACAAAAAATAATGATAATTATTTAAAAAATACTAGCTTTACCATTTTTATATTCTTGACAAAGAAGAACCTTCCTGTCAATAATTTCCTGAAAGCAGTGAAAGAAAGCTCACAATTCAATGAAAATCTGTTGAAAATTATTTTTTAACTAAAAACAACTTTTATTAATTGGTATATTTTTCTTGTATTGGTAAGTGGTCATTCATTTAAAACATCCACAAAGGGGGTGAAGCCTAAAACAATTGACCTTTGTGGATATGTGAATGTGTGTGGACTGGGCCATGAGGATCAATGTGGACATCCACAAGTTACATTTAACATCAAAATGTGTATTTGTTACAACAAGTATAAAACAATTTTAACCTGCATGAAAAATGTATACATTTTAAAGGCAATGCTCCAAATTTAAAATCCCTGCTCAGAGTGTAATTAAATCACAATCTGCAGTAGAGTAAGAGAGATGAAGGAGACAGAAATAAGGGTCATAAACCAAATGCAGTCTCATGACTTATTATACTGCTATGTAAGACGATCCTAAAAAAAACTTTCCATATAAGAAATGTTTTAAATTTGCACTGGTTTTTATGAGTGTGTCATAAAAAGATGCCCACTAAGAAAATAAAATTGTAATTTGAAAATTGAGCTTAGTTAAGTTGAAAAGAAAACATATTCTTTAAAAAACCTATATGGCATAATTAGTGCCCTAAACTTTAGGTCCTGGTGATAAAATATTAAGAACATGGATTGATGAATTTTAATACTACAATAAAGATATATATTCATTACTCGTTTTTTAAATTTTAAACTCCAATGTACCTACTTCTGTATAAACCAAATCTGCTCCATAATCCAAAGCAAGAAGTCTCATAGGTAGTGTGCAAACTCTAACCATTGGGGCTAGAATAAATTTACTTCTATACTGGTTTTCATTCCTTTCGTTACCCATTGTAATCTAAAATAAATAGACAAAATCAATATTAAGTGAGTATTTTATTTATTGAAGGGGGGACGTTCTGACCTGGATTCAAAAGGGACGACTCAAAATATCATCCTTAATTTAATAATTACTATAATTAGGGCCTATCCTTAACTTACTTTAGTAAGTAATAGACAGACCTCTAGTTAAAGTTTTCAAAACCTTTACTTTTACACTTTACAGTGCAGTTTACAGACAACTATCTATAATGTTACTATAAGTCTATTTTCTATACTTACCTATAGTTCTATACTATAGGCCTAATATTAATAATTAATAGGGCCTAAATTCTAGGCCTATTCCTAAATAATAAAATATTAGGCTAATAAATATATTAGGCCTAAATAATACAATTTTCAACATTTTGTCAATTTTGAAATCATGTTTTTTGTGACAAGTGTGTTTTAAATCTCTCAACTCTCAACACATTTAAGGGTAATCTATCGTTTTAGGTACGTAAAATCGCCCACGACTAGTAATGTGAAAAACAGGTGACTCCTTAAATTTTAATAATTATTTCACATTTTGAGGAGGATTTCGGATTTATGTTTTGAAAAATACAAAAATGTTTCCTTGTTTCATTAATTTATATACCTGTTTTTAAACAATTGAATTAAAAAATTTCAGTAATAAATAAAGACTAGCAATGTTTCCAACAGATGCAATCATGCTCATTTACTATAGTAGCCATCTTGTTTATTTTTTTTATTATAAACTTATAGCGCGAGATTCAGGGGAAGCTACTCTAACTTACAGATGGCCGATTAAAGTATATAGAAAACCCTGCTAGCAAAAACACTGCTGTTTAAAGTTAATTTCTTGCCTAGGCTATATTGATATATTTATTATTTAGCCATCGGTAGATCTAGAATCTAGGCTTATAATAATCAATATATTTTTACAAAGACTCATAGATCCAGAGTCTAGATTTATTTTAGGCTAGAAAGTAGAAAGCTAGTATTCTAGTACTAGTATTTATCAAAATATTGAAAGAGTACTGTGTAGTGAAGTGTAGTAGTCGCAGCGCTTAGCGTGTAACACATGTGTAAAAGGAAGCGCAATTGCCAAATTGGATTAAAGTGTCGTAAGTGACAATATCAGAATAGGCCTAAAAAGCATAACAGCTATTCATAGGCTAATTGGTTTTTATCACTTAGAAATAAGGTTCAGATCTCGTGAAATAGCCTTTCTCAAATTAAGGACTAGCTCATATTCTTACGGGTGCACTGCTAGCTGAATAAATAATTAAATACAATTTTCTTCAATACGACCTACAAAATATTTAATGATGAGGCTATAACGCATTAAAAACACACTTTTAATTACTTAAATTGAGGGTCGAACATAAATTGCAATACACTGTTAAGATTCTACCCCTTTTATCTTTAAAATACATAAGTGTTACCCCTTTCCCTCAACACATCATTACGCAAATCCGACCCATCCTCCTTCTAAGAGCGGGACGTCATTTATGGACGGCTCGTGCACAGTGTTTCTTCCAGACTTTTTTCTCCGGGGGGGGGGGGGGGCACTTGAAATCTTCGGGGGGGGGGGTAAACTTTCTTCGGGGGGGGGCGGACACTGTTAAAAGTATATATTTTCTATATAAATTATATAAATTTCATTTCGTTCGGGGGGGGGGGGGGCGGTAAAAATTTTTCGGGGGGGCTTCGACCCCCCCGAAGAGATGCCTGGAAGAAACTCTGCTCGTGCATTCTACTGAAGATCGTGAGTGTGTAGGGATTGGGGGCATGAACTCAGGCATTGGCAATAGTTTACAAAATGAGGAACCGTCTATGAAAAAAAAAATTGAATATGAAACCTATTATGTTTAAGGATAAGTAAATGTCATACTTTCGACACTTTTTTGCTAAAGGTCTAAGGGGTCATCCATAAATGACGTCACGCTTATTTTGACGATTTTTACCCCCCCCCCCCCTCCCCTCCGTCACTCATCGTCACAAAAAGCCAGACCCCCCTAAAATGACGTCACCTCAGTCGACACCCCCTTCAAAATTGCAGTTGAATTTTTCTTAAAACATCGATATTTTTCCAAAATCTTGTCTGATTTCTGTCAAAATAGAGTATTTTAATCAATTCCGATTAAAACAGTTTTCTCAAACGCAAAATAACGTCTAAAATTCGTTTTCTAACATCGCTTTTTTATGATGCAAAAGTGTGACGTCTCACGATCTGAACCCCCCCACCCCCCCCCCCCCCCCCCTCATCACACACCGTCACAAAATTACGGACCCCCCCCCCCTCCCCCCTACGAGTGTGACGTCATATGGACGACCCCTAACATCTTTTACTCAACGCTCTTTTTTTTTCTCAAATCAAAATTATATTCCAGCATTAGCCTAGATCGGTATTGTTTTTTGTGCGGTGTCTTTGTACTTTTTGGAATTGAAATGTTGCGAAATCCTGGCATAAATATAATATCTATATCGTTTCCCTTGTGCAAAGATCGCATCGATCAACGCTGCATGACAGCATTATTTATTTTACTGAATATTGTTGTAGGCTAACTTCACAATATGTCAGACGATGAGGATTACAATTCCGAAGAGGACCAAGACTATGTACCATCAGGTAAAGTAATGACCTAGATTTTGACAAAAAACTTCATGTAAGCCCTTGAGTGCCAGGCTAAATAATGCAATCTCACTGTAATACTGTAATTAAAAAAATCCATTCATTCATTCATTATCTTATTCTTATTTCTTATTAAAATCTTATCAATATCATTCATTCATTAAAATTCATTTTGTTTGATTCTCTCACTAAAAATACATGATTGGTACCACGTTGATGTAATCCTCTTAAAATCAAATGAGATTGTTTGTAGATCTATTAAAATACTATTATATATAAATTATTGTTTGAGTTTATATTTAACTCAATGCACCAAGCCCCGCTGATTGTTTATTTTTATTAATTTTAGTGCTCAATCTGAATATCAAATACAATAAAAGAATTGGATTACTAATTATAGATCTAGAACTAATGACTAATAAGTAATTCCAAAATATTTTTTAGGGGTGGAGGGATTTAAAGTAGTACTAGATCTAGATAAAGTCACTGGGATTTTTAAAAATTACCATAAACTATGTTAATGCACAATAACAAAAACAATTAACATGTAAGCCTAAGTGTGCAAGATTATAGAGATTTAACAACGCTATATTACTGTTGAAGTCCTGTACTATCAGTTTAGCTGCTTAGAAAAATTGAGAAATTAACTAAAAATCAAAAGCCCCCAGGCATTTAGGATTGCATAGAACAGTAATTTGAAAAATGTAAAATAACTTCACTCGCCCAACCCTATTATTATTTTTCTTCTGCCAATCAGTCTTTTTAAAAAAATCAAATTTATTGTTTACAGAGGGTGAGCAAGTAAGTGAGGAAGAAAACTCAGGAGACGATGAAGATCTTTCTGTGCTCCAAGATGATGACACATCAGAAAGTAAAGCAACAAAGAAAAGGAAAAAATCTGCTGCCAAAAAGAATGTTATTGAAGCCAGGTAGCTTAGGTATTTCTTTCACTGTCATCGTTTGTTTTTATAATGTTGGTGATGTATTGAGAAAGAGTTATTTTTAAGGTAATTCTACTAGATCTGGTACACTATTTTATATTTAGCAGATTACTATTTGCATAAGGAGTACTATTTTACTTACACTTACAAGTTACTTGTAATACTACTAACTACTTAGAAAACTATTGGGGTGAAATTATCCGTTTAGCGACCATGAGCTTACTGACTCGACCATGCCGAACCCCTTAAAAATATATAAGTACAATAGAAATGTCTAAAAGAGCTTCATTTATTTATTCAGTGAGATCCAAACACTCACCTCATCCTGTGTTTTAGAGCACTTTAAATTTATAGATTACCTACTTTTTTTCTGGTTATCACTGCTGATAAATAAATCTGCATTTATCTTCCTTGTTTAGAAAACGCAGAGGTGGAATTAAATTACAGGATAAGAATTCTACAGTCTCTGCTGATGATTCTGAAGTGATTGAAAGTGAAGAAGAGATAAAGCGCAAGAAGGAATTAGCTGAACAAATAGCTAAAGAAGAAGAAGAGCGAAAGAAAGAGAAAGAGAAGAAGAGAGCAGATGACCTGTGGTCCAGTTTTATGTCAGGTGTAAAACCACCTCCTCGTGCATCAACTGGTTCTGGTACTACTGTTGAGGTGACTAGTGTCTTTGTTTGATATCCTGGTTAAATATATCTTAATTTGGTTCAGAATGGAGTGAAAAAAGTTTCCAAAAGGGAAATTGTGTACAACCTTGATTAAAAAAAAATTATTACTTTTAAACTACATTTATGTGTGGTTTGTTTAGTTGAAATGTGGTTTTAAAGCAAGATTTATTTTTTTAATTCAACTCTTCAACTATTCTTTTTTTTTTTTTTTATTTAGCTAACATCTAAAAACTTACCTAACAATAGTAAAAAAACATTTCAAACTAATCAGTAGGTTATGTTCAGAGGTTTTATTGAAATATTTTACATTTTTAGGCCAAATCAGCATCTGAAGGAGCAACAACTATCCCAGAATCTCAAACTGAGAAAGCAAAAAAAGTTACCATTACTAAAGTGTTTGATTTTGCTGGTGAGACAATCAAGTAAGTTGTTGATCATTTTAGTCACTAGAATTTAGTTTCAACTACTAATAAAATTCATAATAATAGTTTTCTACTCACCTAGTTTGACCTCCCTTCAGCCTTGGCCTGTCTTAACTATTTTAATGACTCTTTTTAGTTTGATACTCTTTGGTTACATTGCATTCTGCCAGCATTCTCTGAATTTGCCCAGCCTCTCAACCATATAATATATGATTTAGAAAGCTGTGTCATTAAAAACATGTGAAGAGTTTTAAATATGTTGACCTGAAAGCACCTGATTTAATTGCACTTAAATGGCTTAAAATCTGTTATTCTATAGAGATAGCATTTATTAACGTTTACATTTCTAGCAATTTTTAAAAAATTGTCTGTTAATTATACCTGAACTAGATCTGGTGCTTGCAGGCAAGTTTCAGAGGAAGTGTTTTGTGCATTTTTTTCTGTCCTCCAATAAGTATTTATTTCAGATTTTTATATCATAGTGAAGCACAGGTATTATATTATGACATGCGGTTTAGTGTTTAGTAACTAGATCTATTGCTAAAAATTAAAATTTTATTTAAAAACAATAGAATTTTAAATAATAAAAAAGAAATATTAATTTCATTGACAACTGTTACAGCCCTGGTACGTAGTATTATAGCTGCATGTACAGCAACTTAGATGATATTGTAAAAGTATATTTCCATTTCGAACCAGTCGGTCCATGGGGCAAGTGAAGTAGAGTTCACCTGTTTCTGTGACCTCACTGTGCGAATAGTGTGACTATTTGCCTTGACTTTCTCTAACATGGGTCAGGTACCTATCATAGCTGGGTGAAATCAGGGAATTTCTACTGACGAGGCAGTATTATATTTCTTTATTATTACCTCTACCTCCTACCACCTTTATTGATATACATCTTTTATTAATATAACATTTCTTCCGTATCCCTCTTCTGTACTTTTAAATTTATGAATTGTAATTCAATGTTTTAATGTTAATCCTAAATAGCTGAAAAAAGCAATAGGAAGTTATTTTAAATCTCTTAATCATTTTGTGTACATTATCTTTATTTTTCTTTTACAAAAGAGTAACAAAAGAAGTTGATGCAGATTCAAAAGAGGCAAAAGCTGAACAAAAGAAGCAAGAGACAGCTAATCAAGAAACAGCCAACCCAGCAGATCCCCTCCCTACCTCCTCACTTAGGTATGTAAATCTTTTTATCTTGTAGGTCCATTCTAGTAATAAAAAAACTCTGAATTATTGTGGTTAAGGACTGCAGAGTTTGTAGATGTCTAGTGCTTAATACTGTGTACTGTGTATACTGTTAAAGTAAACATATATAATGTGTTAATTTTAGCTGCTAAAGGCACTATGCTAGTACATAATAGTTCAATAAATTTAAAACATTTTACCCATTTTTAATTGTAACCAAACTTAAAAGTCAGGTAGAACTGACTTTATCTTTTTGCTTGTATGACAAGTTAATTTGAATAAATTCTGAGCATTATCTTTATATGCCTTGTTTCATTTTATGTTATACATTTTAATGTTTAGTATACCATGACATTTTGAAAATATTTTTCTCTGACTAAAGTTACAATAATCAAGCAAAATAATAGTCTAGAAATTTTTATTAAATTCCTTTTTTTTTTTTTGGTAAGAATTCAAGTTCTGATTTCTATTTACAGTCAAGGTTTAAAGCGTCCAGCTGTTGGTGGTGGTCTTGGGAGCGTCCTGAACAAAATAAACAAGAAAAATAAAATGGGCACCTTGGTAAGATTTAACACCTTGTATTTTTCTACTTTGTAAGAATAACTTTTATACATTTTTTAAAAATAAGTTTGTTTATTCATGAAAACAACCTTTGACTGACAGTAGAGCTCTGTAATTTATTTTTGGTATAACACTAGTTACTTTTACACTTATCTATATGAATTTTTTTCTTGTATGGAACTGCTTTTCTTTACAGGAAAAATCCAAAATTGATTGGGAATCATTCAAGAAAAAGGAAGGCATTGATGATGATCTGAAGATTTACAACAAGGGCAAACAGGGGTAAACCTAATTTTTCATCCTCTAGTTTTTCATTTTCATCCAGTAACTTTTCAAATTAGTATTCATTACATATAGTCCTTCTTAAATAAATATTGGTTTATTAGTTTTGACTGACATCTTTGACACAACTTTAAAAATGCAAGAAAAAAAATCCAGCAATCCATCACTTATATTTAAAATTTGTTAGTTATGTGGCTTATGCTTATCACCATAATTCTATTGAATTAGTGTTAAGAAAGTCTGTAATTTTTTATTATAACACATTAGGTGACAGAAATATGTAAGAGTCCTTTTATCCAAGCTTTAATGGATTAGTTTTGGAGATTATGTCATTCACTATTTTCCAGCAATGACTTTATAAGATAGTATATAACTTTTTTAGTTGAATATATTTGTTATAACACATTTTTTGTGTGTTAAATCTCCAGGTATACAGAGAGAATGGCATTTTTAAATAGAGCAGATCAAAGACAGTATGAGATAGAGAGAAATCTGAGATTAGGCAGCACAAGTAAAAGATAGCGACGCCGGTGTACTTACATTTGTTTTAATTTCTTGTAATGAAATGAAGAATGGTAAACATGTCAGCTCAACCCACCTGCATTGTGAGAGTGTTGGAGTAACTGATCTGTTTTTATTTGATTGGCCCTAATTGTTTTAAGATTGCTTTTTTGAACATCTGATCTGTGTACTGGGACTGTTGAATGTAGCCTGATTTTTAGTGTTGTACCAAGTCAACATTAGTGGATTTTAGTTATGCTAGTGTTGTAGTCACACACCTTGTTAGCAGCTGAGCTCATTTCCAGCACACAGTAACACAAAGTGGGAGCTGTAGTTGTTTTGCACACCATTTAATATCATTAATGTTGATGGTATTATTTGACCTTATTTCAGAAATAAATTAGCCAGTCTCTAAGCAAAACATTTAGATAACACAGAAAGAAACTTTAAAATGTGGCTATTGTGTATGCATGTAATATACTGCTGGTTGGTTATTATTTTTTCCCTTTAAAAATTTCAATAAAAGAATTTGATGAGGGTTGAAGAACTGCAAAGATTTAATTTATTTTGTAAATATCTGTCAAGTTGTTTTCAGAGCTGTCCTGTTATGTATTAAACCTAACAATCTGACTATGTATGGTGTTAGAGACTATATTTTGAGAGAAGTGGTGGCTTCTGCTAATTGTAAAAATTATATCTGGCACCGTTGTACAAATTGCTACAGGAAAAGTTGAACAATACTGGTAAATTAATGAAGTAAACAGTTTTTTAAACTCTATTAAGATCATTGAGGGATAAACTTAGTTAATGAAATTACCTACCAGGTGTCATAAATTTTGAAGTCTTAAAAATATGTCATTGTTAATGTGTTGAGCAATTAACAAAATATTTTTCATATAGATCTATCCATGTGAATTACAAAATTGACACATAGTTTAAAATAATACTGTACACTTGCTTATTAATCATTTCCTCTAAACGACCACATGTCTATATAATGGTTAAAGTGAACAAGTAAAGGACATTACAACAGCAGAGGTTCGTATTTTTGTAGGCAGTTATCATGCACTGCTATGCCACAAAAAATAGGAGGGCAAAACAAACTTGACTTAAATGGGATAAAAGAGCTTAATATTTTGAGAATAAAACAAGAAACTCGAAAAAAATTAAACATAACATCAACCAACCATCAGAGAAAATAACTCCCAATAAAGAACAGTAACAAAACATTCTGGAGTTAATGAAACATTAAAACCATGTCAACAAAGACAGGGATGTATGCTATCAACAATGACATTCTTGATGGAACCTGTAATTTATTGGAACATGCAGAAACCTTGAAAGAACGACAAAGGAATCCAACGAGAAGATTGCTATGTCTGCCCGTTATCTCACATACACGCGGAAACCCAAATGTACCGAGTATCTAAAGAAGAAGCTCTAAAGTAGGACAAAAAAAATCAATAAAAGTAAAGGTCGTCAGATTCAATAACAATCAGGACTTATTCCATACAGCTAAGCATAGAAGGCATACGAATCCTGGGAGGTGTGAACAACAAAGAAGGGGACCAAATGAAGACGTAAAAAAGCCGTATCTACAAAGTCAGATGCGCTCTTAACTCACTACGCCCGATATTGAATTCTCCCTTCAGAGCAAGGAGATTTTACAACACAAATGTTAAGTCAGTAGACCCCTTATAATAAGGCTCAATGGCCAACGGGGTTACAAAATCAAACAACAGGCTACAGTCCTTCACATGTAGATTTATAAGCATACAACTCTTTATCAACGACGGACGACAACGACTAAATCTTCCGGGGTGGCGAACCGGTAAAAGTATGTTTTCTATATAAATTCCATTTCGTTGGGGGGGGGGGGGGGGCGAAGAGATGCCTGGAAGAAACTCTGGTCCTGCCAAGTAAAATTTAAAAAGAAAAAAGGCTACTTCAAGCACGTAGCCTATACTTCATCATATAGCACACGGTCCACGCCCTCTCCCCGGGTCGAAATAATACAAATATATAATTTAAATAGAAAATAGATATATTATACCTCTTCCCCTCCCCCCACCCATAAGTTTCCCGTTCCCTCCCCACTCGAAATGTACGAAATAAACCTTGTTGTTGACAGAAGATGTGGTAGATACATACAGCTATTTTTTAAAATAACAACATAAAAACTAAACTAAAATGGGAGTGATGTATGCCTATATGGTCTATATTCTATATTTTATTTTAGCTATTATTAAACTCAACATTTTGAAATTCTAAATATTACTGTTTACGCCACCATAGAGTCTCACGCAGTGTTTCTTCCAGACGTTTTTCTCCGAAGAGGGGGGGGGGGGGGGCACTTGACATTTTCGGGGGGGGGGGGGGCGGTTGGGGGGGGGGGGCAGAGTTTCTTCCAGTCATCTCTTCGGGGGGGGGGGGGGCGAAGAAATATTTTTACCGCCCCCCCCCCCCCCCCGAACAAAATGAAATTTATATAATTTATATAGAAAATATATACTTTTAACAGTGTCCGCCCCCCCCCCCCCCCGAAGAAAGTCTACAGCCCCCCCCCCCCCCCCCGAAAATTTCAAGTGCACCCCCGGGGAAAAAAGTCTGGAAGAAACACTGGGGCAGAGCCCACCCGAAGAGATGTCTGGAAGAAACACTGGTCTCACACCTACCGCCGTGCAATCCCCTCTCTTCCTCTCTATCACTACCACCCCCACTCCCCACATGGTCTGGTGAGCGGTGTTCACTCTAAATGTTTACATTTGTAGAGCCGGGTTTAGTGACGGCTATTATGGGCAGATAATTTAGTTTGAAACGATTTTAAACTTAGAGGAGGTAACTAAGAGGAGGCTGCTTTCACGGGTGGGGGGGGGGGTATAGGGTAGGGGTTGAGTGAAAGGGGGGGGGGGGGTAGTGTTTTAAAGCTAATATTTTCAGTGGCAGCATTGGTACTGTCGAATTCACAAATTATGAATTACTGAAAAGTAGAAAATAAAACAACTAAATAGCGGCGTATGATACGCCGCGGGTCGGCTCGTATATTATACCAGCACTGAACACGGTGGTATGAACTTATTCAATTACAGTTTTTTCATCCATCTTTTTATATTTTAAATTCAGGTGTTTGGCGTTGATCTTTATTTCTATCTAGATCTATATCGTACACAAAATAACAAAATATCAACCACCAGATAATTTTTTGTGTAACATACTCTAGTTTATGCCGATACTGATATTGATACTACCAACATGACTTTCCAGTGATCTATAAATAGAACATTTTCTGGGAATACCCAGAATTTCATGGAAATTTGCTTATTTAATGTAAGTTGACATACGACGTAGCTACCACTGTCAAGATCTGGCCTAGGTAAGGGAAGATTTTCCATTTTGTGCTGCATAACATAATCAATATAGGATCTACGATTCGATAGTAATAGTTTTAATTTTGAATTTATAGTCCAATAACAATTATTAGTTAGCTAGGCCTCAGGCAGCAGTCAGGCTACATTTCAAGATCGGAACTATTCTAAGACTAAGTATTATAATATAAGTAAGGCCCTAATTTAATTAAATTTATTATTAATATTATAGATTAGTTAGAACTATCATTGAAGAATAAAACTATCATTCACAGTTCATAGAATACCCAGTCGTCTGAACTAGATCTATGACTAATCTAATAATTTTTTACAATTGAATTATGCCTGGGCCTTATAAATAAATATTAGGCCTAGGTCCCTATTGATTATTATTTTATGATTTAATTATTGAGTGCAATATAGATCTATTTATAAAGATCTACAGTCCTAATTGTTGTGATAATTATTTGAGAATAATGATATAATCAATAATAAATTTTAATAAGAGAGGCACCATTCGCCTTTCCTTGGGGTACCACTCAACAAGCTCTGGTGTGTCACATTTGAGTGTGCTTTGTCATGGGCTTCTGCCTTATCTCCTTCTCCACAGGACTATGTTAAGCACTTAAAGTTACCCTACCTCAATTTTAGAATCTGAGACATTTGTTAATGTTAATGATGATCTATATAACTAGATATAGATTCTATATCTATATCTTTTCTGTGCCGGTCATGGAGACTGATCTGACTACTATAATATTTTATTTATAGTGCCTTCCAATGTCTAAAATAATGTATTTATTAGTCCCCCAAAATTATACACAATCATGAAATAAACCCTCAGTTTTTGAAACAAAATTTGGTTGGCAAACTTTAAACTTTAAACCATACCTTAAAAATTAAAAGCAAATTACTTAAGCATCAGTTTATGACATTGAATATAAATATAAAAGGTCCATTAAAATACTAAAACACGACTTCTTCCAAAAAAAAACAAATTATAAATATTGTCTATACTAAGACTTAGCAAAGTTTCCCTTTGAAACCTGACAGTCCAGTGAAGTATTATAAGTATAGTTCACCTGTTTTTGTGACCTCGACTAATGAGGAGATTGATCAGCACTATGCCCAACCGCCTTTACTTTTCCTAACTTGAGTTAAGTACCCATCAGAGCTGGGTGGACTCAAGGACATTCTACTGAGTCCCATTTGTCTATAGGTCTACTTACTGTACTTAAAATGCATTACATTTTCTGTGAACAATGAATGATAATTTCTATGTGTTCAACTTATTTTTGTCCCCAGTGACTACTGTTGTAAAACTTCCTTGATTATGATACACATGATCATGATGTTCTAAGATGTACAATCCTTTTGAGTAAGTCTTTCAATTTTCATTATTATGCTAGACCTTCAGGAATTAGATTAGCCTCTGTGACTAATGCTTTAGTCTATTCATGTTTTTTTGTGACACTTTTAAAAACTATTTCTACAAAAGATCTAGAATGTTATATGTTGCTTGTGGTTTTTAAATTTTAAAAAGGTCTAAATAGAGCATTATTTTTTTTACACCTATCTTTTCAACAACAAAAAAACGGTAAGTCTTATTCAGATAGGCTATGCATAAATGTATATGCTTTATAAAAATAATATATTATATATTATATATATATATGTCCTATGAAAATAAATGTCTACATATGCACATAGATATATAGGCCTACATGTTTATGTATATAAATATACATATATATCATTATACTTTATAAAGATCAAAGTTGGTGCTTGGCCTTAGTATAAATTTTCTTCCTCTTTTTTAAAATGATTTTGTCTAATTTGTTATGGTATTATGTGCTCTTGCTATGAAATGAACTTTTTAGACTTTAAAGCCTTTAGAAAAGTAATTTTATATTTTCAGATTTCTTTTATACTAATTTTTACTGTTGAGTTGTGTTATTATGAGAAATACTTTGGTCTTTATAGATGTTAACCATTTTCATGGACCTAGTAATTTAATAAAAATTTAATAACATTTAAGAATATAATAAATATGATAATATAATATAATAAAGTACTTTTTAACCTTCAGAGACATTCAGGATCAACGGCACTCACGGAGGGGAAATAACCATTCTCAATTTGTGTTTAATCGTAACAGATCAAAGTAAGTATAAAATATAAAATTAAGTAATGTAATTTGTTTTTCAAAAATATATCTTTAAGTATCTGTTTAAAATTAATTTGTTTAAAGTTTAACACTAGTAAAATTGATTCTACAAAATTCTAATGGGTCTCCATTGCAACAAGTAGAGCAGAAATTTGTTTTAGTCTTCTCATAAAATTTAGTTTTAATAAATAAATAAATAAAACTGTGAAATCTAAATTTCCTCTCAATTTACAAATGTAGTTGGTATGGACAAAAAAAAACAACAGATCCTCAACTAAATTATTCATAACATATGTTTTGATGAATGGCAGGGCAGAAACAAACATAACACTGTTACATTTTTTTTTATAATTTAATCCTGACAGTTGTATTTTTGAAAATATACTTTTTACTTTATTCATTAGTAGGCCTAATTATCTCTCTTGTTATCCTAGTTATAGTTTTTACATAGCTGTTATAGGTGTTACGCTCTATATTTCATAATTTATGTGTTTTAAAATGTAAACAAATTTTTTTAGCATAAATCATGGACAATAAAAAAAACCCCATTCTTTTCCAGTTCTAGATCAGGTGAAGGTGGCTCAGGTGACATGGGTGGAAGGGGTGAGAGAGGGGGTAGAGGTGGCAGAGGAGGTGGATGTGGGTTTCGTGGACAGAACAGAGGATCTAGTGGACAAAGACAAAATGATGGACAGAATGAGGGTAGAACATATGGTAGCAGAAGAGATGATTCAGAGACAAGAGCTGGAAGTGGAACTCAAGCTAGAGCTGACCAGGGCAACAGGCGAGGAGGATATAGAGGAAATGAGAGAGGAAGTAGAGAAGAACGTGCCCAGCGACCCATGACCTACGGCAGGCTGAAGACCTGGGCAGAGACACAGGATGCAGGGCAGCTTATCTTGTTTATGGCATCAGAGAAACAGCAGCTGGAGTCATTTCTAATGGGGGAAAAGATCAAGGAAGATTGGTTAACTTTGTTAGTGAAAGCTGTCAATCATGGTATCACAGCCCAGCATCAAAAAGAGTCAATCAAGCAAGTTTTGGAGGTGCTTTGTAAAAGTCGTTTCTTTGATCAACATCTTGTGATTTATACAATTGACAAACAAGATTCCTATTGGCCGGATGCTTGTGATTTCTTTACATGTATGACAAATATTATAAAAGAAATTTTGGAAAAACTTCCAAAGTTTTCCATTAAATGCGTAAGTGCAACAACAAATATATTAAACTCAGCTTGCGCAGTAGAATCTGTTAGAGAAAACAAAGCTCTAATTGATACCATTAAACTGCTTTTCAGTCAATCAAAAGAAGGTCTTAAATTAGCTAAAGAAAAGGATAATGAGAGAGGGCAAGCACAACGAGGATCTTTCGCTAAGGCAGGTCAAGATGAAAAACCCCCGGATAATTTTCTAGACCTGCAAGTTGTACCAACAAAACTTGACTTACAGGCAGACGCCAAGCCATTTGTGAGGTGTGCAGTAGTAGATGGAGCTTATGAAAGTGTACATGACTACCTAGATATACAGTTCAGACTCATGCGTCAAGATTTTATTCTGCCACTAAGACTTGGAATTAATGAATTCAAGAAAAATGGTTGCAAGGTAAATTTCAACAGCTCAGATTTAAGGATGTATTACAATGTACACATAGTGGGCACAGTATTCAAGGATGGGATTGATCATATTTTGCAATTTGATGTATCAAAACTAGGCTCTGTAAAGTGGGAGTTCTCAAAACGCTTGATCTTTGGCTCCCTGCTGTGTTTATCAAAAGACAACTTTGAAACTGTGATCTTTGCTACGGTGGCACATCACGACGCTGCACAGCTGGCTAAAGGAAATGTGACTGTCAATGTTAAAAGTGGACTTGATATCGTATTCAACTCCACCTCCAGTGATGTTTTTGTCATGGCAGAAACAACTGCTTATTTTGAATCTTATGTTCATGTTCTGGAAGGGCTTCAAGAGATGGCTAAAAATCTTCCACTGCAAGATTACCTGATCTCTTGCAAAAAAGATGTGAAGCCACCAAAGTATTTGCTTCCTTCTGGTGGTATTAGGACTGTACCAGTGTATAACTTGTCTAGTCTTTTGATAAACCCAGGTTTTATGGACTCGTTTCCTGTGTTAACTACTGTCAGGTGGCCTCCAGCTGTAAACATGTGTTTAAACACATCTCAGAGAGAAGCGGCCATGGCTGCTTTGACCAAGGAAATAGCTGTCATCCAGGGCCCACCTGGTACAGGTAAAACCTACGTGGGGTTGAAGGTCATGCAGGTTCTGATAGAAAACAAAAACGTCATGGCTGGGAATTTAGAAAACCAAGATGACCCCATCCTTGTTGTCTGCTATACCAACCACGCCCTGGATCAGTTTTTGGAAGGTGTTTTAAACTTCTGCAAGGACGGCATTGTCAGAGTGGGTGGTAAAAACAGCAATGAAAGCTTAGAAAAATTTAACATTAAATCTCTAAGGCAGAAAGTTAGAAATGAAAGACTGTTTTCTGATCGTTCTGTCAGAAATTCAAAATATGAATGTCTTAAAGAACTGGAAGTAGTCTCAGAAGAAATCAGCAAGCTGAACAAGACAATGGACTCCCTCGAGACTGACATCCAGACGGAGCAGATTCTGGAGAATTTCATGCAAGATCAACACTTTGATTCTCTACAGAACAACTGTCCTGATCCAGGAAGAAGCAGACAGCGCATGAGGCAATGGCTGAATGCTTCCAATGATACGCCACAATCAGCTCTCCCAAAGATGATCCAACAGCACATGACAAATCTGGTACTACAGGTCAGGGAAGTTTCCCAGGCGATGCTTCAACAGAAGATGGATATCTGGCAACGTGCATCTTTGTATAACTGCTGGCTCTCTATGTACAAAAGTAGAATGCAACAAGAATTTCAGCAAAGTATGTTTCATGACCAGAGGCTGGCAGTTGAAATAAATAAAAATTTGGAGGTGTCTCAAACCAAAATCCTCTCAGATGACCTCTTACAGTGGGTCCTGCCTGCATCAGTTTTTAAAGACATTAGTTCCATACTAATAAGTTACAAGTATAAGCCAGTGTCAGGATCTTTGGTTGAGGCCTGGGTTCTAGGGTTATACAACAGTCTAGACAACCAGCTGGATGAAATCCAAGTGTTAGCAAGTCGTCTCAAGGGTGAGACAGTAGATGTTGATGTTTTTGATGAGACTGACACTGGGCAACAGGATCAACAGAATTTAGTCGATGATGATGATGACGATGATGGCACAGGGAACTATAATGCTAAAATCAACAATGCCAGGAATACATTCATCTCAGTCATGCAGCGGGCAGAGATGATGGGAATCAGTGAGGAGATCATGAAGGATGATGAAAAAGACGATGGCTGGACAGTAAAAAGCTACACCAAACCCTTGACATTTGGAAAGATCCGAAACAAACTTAAAACTGTTGAACCAATGACAGTAGAAGAAGAAACTAAAATTTTCAACGTTTGGAATTTGGACTTAAATAAAAAATTTGCCCTTTACAACAGCTGGGTAAAAAGATACAAGGAATCACTGACAGAGAAGATGATAGAGTTTGTCCAGCGTTACCAGTCAGCGTATGACAGAAAGATGGAAGCTAATAGAGAAGAAACTCTGTATATTTTGAAGAAGGCCAAAGTGATTGGCATGACAACTACAGGAGCAGCAAAGCACAGGGCTGTTCTCCAGTCTGTTGCTTGCAGAATAATTGTTGTAGAGGAGGCAGCCGAGGTATTGGAGTCACACATTGTCACAGCACTGAATAAAGAATGCAACCATTTGATTTTGATTGGCGACCATCAGCAGCTGCGGCCAAACCCAACAGTTTACGAGCTGGCCAAGGATTATAAACTTGAGATTTCACTGTTTGAGAGGTTGATAAACAACAAAGTACCCCATACACTTCTCAAAGAACAGCACAGAATGCGTCCAGAAATCTCTAAAATAATGAAGCACATCTACAACCATCTTGAGGACCATAGCTCAGTATTGAAGTATGAACATATCCGAGGTGTTGGCAAAGATGTTTTTTTCATCAAACATAAGGAGCTGGAAACAAAAGTGGATGACACACGCAGCAAAGCCAACTCTCATGAGGCAAAGTACTTGGTTGCTCTCTGTAAGTATCTCTTGCTGCAAGGTTATGAGTCCAGTCAGATCACAATACTAGCCACCTACACTGGTCAGGTCTTTGCTATCAAGAAACTGACTCGGGAAAATAGTCTTCAAGTCAGGGTCACAGCTGTGGACAATTTCCAGGGGGAGGAGAATGATATCATCCTCTTGTCTCTTGTTAGAAGTAATGAGCAAAACAGTGTGGGCTTTTTGAAGGTGGACAACAGAGTATGTGTGGCTTTGTCTAGGGCGAAGAAAGGTCTCTTTGTTATTGGAAATTTTGACTTGTTGTTTAAACACAGTGAACTGTGGAGAAAAATCATTAAAACTGCTACAGAAGATGGCATAATTGGTGAGGGTCTTCCAGTTGTGTGCCAGAACCACCCAGAAATCAAGCAGGATATTGTCACTAGTCAGGATTTTGACAAGTGCCCTGAAGGAGGTTGTGGGAACCCTTGTAATTTTAGACTGAATTGTGGCCATGTCTGTGCTAAAAAATGCCATGGGTATGACTTGGATCACAAGCAATATCAATGTAAGAAACCATGCCCAAAGAGATGTGCTGAGGGGGGTCATCCATGTCGACGTAAATGTTTCCAAGACTGTGGCAACTGTGAAGAGCTTGTCAACAAAATAATCCCCATCTGTGGCCATGAGGACAAAGTTCCCTGTTACCAAGCACCCATTAAGGCTGTGTGCTCACAGAAATGCTCTGCGCTACTCGACTGTGAACACCTGTGCTTAGGAAAGTGTGGTGTTTGTAAGAAAAATGGCCAACATGGCAAATGTAATGTCAGTGTTGAATACAGCTGGCCTTGTGGCCACACTGCCAGGGTGCCATGCCACTTAAAACCCTCTGAGAATCCCTGTCAGAAAGTCTGCGATGCTGTACTGGAATGTGGACACAAGTGTAAAGGAAAATGCTCAGATTGTCTAGATGGCGCTGTGCATGTGGCGTGTGAAGAGAAGTGCCAGGAAGTTTTACCATGTGGGCATAAATGTGAAGGCTACTGTGGGGTCCCCTGTGTGCCATGTACCCAGCCCTGCCCTTCTAAATGTGCACATGGATCGTGCACAACACCCAAGTCTAAAATTGAATGTGGACACAAATGCCCTGACTGTTTAGAGAAATGCTCCATCAGCTGTCCTCATGGTTCTTGCATAAAAACTTGCCATGAAAAGTGCAGCAAGGAACCTTGCAAGAAACCATGTGATAAGAAAGTGCACATTTGCTCAGAGAAATGTGGTGGGAGGAAGAACTGCAAGCTCAAGCTGCAGAACTGCAATCACAATTGTTTTGGAATGTGTGGGGAACTCTGTGTGTGTGGACATTGTGAGAAAATATCAGTCATGCCACATAAGGGAGGTAAACAAACGGATAACACTACAAGTAGTGATGGTAAACCCAAAGTAGACAGAGAGAAACGGCTTCTGAAAATTCCTTCCTGTAATCATATCTTTTACTTAGATGACCTTGATGAGTATGTACTAACCTTTGACCCTGCAGGTACTAGTTACATCCCCTGTCCAGCCTGTAAACAGCCAATCACAAAGTGTGTAAGGTATGAGAATATCAATAAAGAAAGAAGCAAACGCAGAGAAGTTAAAAAAGAAGAATTAAGGGGGAAAAACCAGTTAACCAAAACAGACCAAGAAAAATTACTTCAGTCTAAAAGGCTGGTTGACGATACCCATTTCTCCAGTTTGAAATATATTGATGTGAGCAATGCTGTTGAAAAACAAGCCCTATGCCTTCAACTGAAATACGCTTTTGTTCTTGGAGAAATCTTGTCTTTGCCAAACAGCTCATCTGAACATATGCAGTTGTTCAAGAAAATGAGAGAGGCTGTGTTGAAGGTCAAGAGAAGGCTGACCAAACAACAGAGAGAAGAGTTCTCCACAGAACTTCTCAGGTGTTTTAGACTGGCGTATCTGACTCAGATGGAAACTGACAGCCGTCTCAATGGGGTTGATGTGCCGCCCATGCTGCAGCTTCAGGTGCAGGAGAGCCTGGAGGTCCTAAGAAAAATCAAGCCAGATTTAGCAAAGTTTCACCGCTCAGGCTATATTATTGAAACCCTGAAGAGAGTGATTGATGATAGGGTGAAATCTGTGTCGGTTAAAGCAAAATGCCAGCTGATGACTGAAGCTTACACAAGGGTGGATAAGGTCATCACTTCCAAGGATGATGAGGTAAATCAGAAAAAAAAATATCTTTAATTAATCTAAACTACCCTCTTTTATGTATGGTTAAATTTATTATTCTAATTAAGAAAAAGATTTACTGAATGTTCAAAAACTGCATACAATTATTACACAACTTTGAAAATAATTTCTTTATAAGTTCTTCAATGCTAATTTCTTTATTGACCTATAAGAAGAGATAAGGGAACATTCTGAATGCTAGTGCAGGAAAAACAATTTCATTTTTATATAGCTTTTTATGGTAAAACTTGAATATACTTCAATATATTGCAACTAATTATTGTTACTGTAGAATGTATTCATCATCAGCGAATGATGCTACTAGATAACATACTCATGTAAGTCATCCTTTTTTACTTTCAGATGCTGTGTGATATTGTCAAGCAAGAGGAAAAATTGACTTCCAGATTTTCAGATTTATCCATAGCAGCTCCAAGAGCTAGCTCTGCTTCTTCAAGCCTGCATGAAAGGTTGCGTGAAAAAATATCTTTAGGCTTATCAAGTCCACCATCTACATTACAGGAAACTTTAGCTGCAAAGAAGAAAGCTGATTTACTGGAACGGTTATCTGCAAGAGAGCAGCTTCTATCGAGTTCATCTTTAGAAAGGTTAGAATTGAAACATTTTTATTGTATTAATATTTTACTTTCACTTTAATCAATGCTGTTTATCTTTAATAACAATATACTGGCTTTGTAGTTTTATTTAGCAATTAAATTTAAAATAGTTCAAATTTTAAAGAAAATATCTGAATCTCGAGTTTAAGAGTAATACTAAAAGGAATCAAAGCAGATTGTTGTTAAAACTTTTTTTTTTAACGTTTGGATTTACTTATACACAATATAATGCATTATTTTACTAAATAAACTGAAGAGATTCTGTATTTCTATCAATGTTTAGACACAGGGAGAAACTTGCACTTAAAGAGAAGGAAAGGTCTATGTATGTATCAGATCTAAAGCAAGTATCACGTCCTCTTGCTTCACCTTACGGTATCAAGCATGGGGCTCGAAACTTGGCTGATTCTTCTGATTCTGATTCAGATCTTGAGGTAGAAAGGAATAGATACTTAACACGCACTCGCAGATGTTCAGGTGATTCAGACTGAGTGAAACTTTCAATATTGAAAGCTGGTAATATCAATTCAAATTTTTGGTTTCATGTAACCTAAAACTTGTACAATACTTTTTAAATAATTTTAAATGTAATAAAGCATAATTAAATATGATAACATTGTATAGATTAAAAATGTAATGTTTGTTTGGTGTATATTTTTTAAGTTACCAAACGATTTTGATCTTGTATTTCATCATAAAAAAATGTGTGCTTTTCTGTTGAAAAGGTAGTTGATAATTAATTAACATTGTAAAGAATTCTTTTTTCTTTCAAATTTTTTCTAATAAACAGTTTTTTAAGACTCAAATCATTATAATAAAAGGTCTATAAAAGGTAATAAGAAAGTACATTATTCTAGACCACAAAGTGTACTTTGTATGATTTATTGGTATGATAATTTTTTTTGGTATGATAATTTGTATGATTTAAACAGTTTGAAAAATAAAAGTACTAGAATACTGGATAATATAAAAATATTTACGAATAAGTAGTATCAGCATTCTTTATATTTGGTGCAAAAATGGTAAATATTTTTTGTTGAAACAAAAATGATGTATTAGCTAGATTATTCAAAAGAGTGTAAATCTTTTAAAATTAATCATATGTTTTAAAAATTATTTTAAATACATTTTTTAAAAGATATTTTTTTAAATTATTTTTTTGTCTGTGTAATTTTAAAGTGATTGTATTTGTTTTTACATTCAACACTTTGTATTATGTAAATGCCAGTTTTTCCCCCACTCTTATTGAATAAAAGTTCATAACAATTCCACTCCTTAATATAAGCCTGCGGTAGAAAGCTAGACTGCTAACACTAAAGTCTCGAGTTCGAATCAGGGTTCAAATCAGTAAAATGTCCCTGAGTCCACGCAGCTCTGATGGGTACCTAACTCACATTAGGGAAACTAAGACGGCTGAGCTTAGTTCTGGCCACATTATCTCCTTGTATGCAGAGGTCACTGAAACAGATGAATTCTACTTTATCTGCCCCATGTCTCTTAGGTAAAAACAAGAAAAGATGATGATGATTAATATCAATTAACACATTTTTAATTAAAATTTAGTAAACCTATTCAATTGTGGCAGTTACATCTGCATTTGTATCACTAAATTCATAATACAGAACAGCAATTATAATTATGTTATAAAACATTAGTGTCATGAACCCAATTTCATCAAATGTGGCACCTCATTGGCTCTAAAGCTGCCTCTGTGTGACATAAGCATGGCACTAAAGTATCACATGAACGGTACTAGTGATGCTTATGTGGCACTGTTGTGTACTGTGGTGCATAGATCCCACACCTGAAATAATAAAAAATATATGGGAAAAATAAAGTGTATCCCCCCCCCTCACTTCACACAAAGAATTTCTACTCTCGCCCTAGGTTGTGGTACAAGATTTGTCTAATTTAAAATATTTTCCTTGGTCATTGTTGATACAGGCCTACAATACTAAATTATTATTATAGTGTAGAATAAATACAGTGTTAAATAAGGATTAGTTACAATAGTATTTCTTTTTAATTAAAGTTATTGTTCAGTATAATATTCAACTTTAGTCAGTCATCTGTATAGGTTTCAATTTAATATTTTGCAATACACTTTACAATTTATTTAGTTTCCTATCTGAATATTTTTTTCTTTTAAGACGTTTAAATAGTATTATTATAGTTTAAAATGTAATATTTTTAGTTTTATTTATAGCGTGGTTTTACTTTTTCTATCAAATGTATATAGTAGAGACAAATAAGCATTTTAAATAGATATTTGTGACAAGTTTTCTTTTCTTTTCTTTTAGTTTGATACTACACTTTGAAAACTAGATCATGGTTTTTTGTTGAAAATAATTTTGCCTGTAAAAAGATATCTTTATTACAATTTATTTTGCATATCAATACTGTTTTGGAAAGGATTTTACCATGCTATTTTGATTTTTATTTTAGTGGAAATTAGAAATCATTATTTCACTATATTATTTGTTTGACACAATAAAAATATCTCCAGAAAAATGTTCTCTTTATTTATTTGTTTTACTACAAGGTAAAGGTAACCTGTAAAGACTTCTTTCATGGAGTAGTTAAACAACCATTGCCGTGTTGATGCCTGCAGGATTCATTTTATTCTACCGATCTTGACGTGAATGTTTTTATGGAAATTTAAGTAACTACCCAGTCAGCACACATATATTGGCCCAATATTGGCTAAACATTGGTTACCAATATTGGCTACATCTTGGTGCAACATTGGCTTAACCTTGGCGAAACATTGGTAGTGAAACTCGGCATGATGTTGGCGCAATGTTGGCACAATATTGGCTATATCCCGGCTACATATTGGCCCAACATTGGCTAGATCTTGGCCAAATATTGGCTATATCCCGGCTACATATTGGCCCAACATTGGCTATATCCCGGCTACATATTGGCCCAATATTGGCTACATCTTGGCTCAATATTGGCTATATCTTGGCCCAATATTGTCTATATCATGGTTACATCTTGGCCCAATATTGGCTACATCTTGGCTCAATAATGGCTATATCTTGGCCCAATATTGGCTATACCTTGGCTCATCCTGTATTATATCCTGGCTACATCTTGGCCCAATAATGGCTATATCTCGGCTATACCTTGGCTCAGCCTGTATTATATCCTGGCTACATCTTGGCTCAAATTTTTATTTTTAGCATACAAAAAGATCCATTCTCATATCAGTCATAATATTTACAAAGGTAATTTCAAAATGTGAAAGAAATTTTAATCAAAATGTAGTAAAGCAGCAATACATACACAAGAACTGCTCATCTATTAAAATCTGTATTATACCATCCATTCAATTGTAAGAAAATTATAACTATACTATAAAGTATTGATTGAAAAAGAATAAGTAAATTATAGTGTAGTAACTTTCATTTTGACTTTTATACAAACAAATTAAAACAAATATACAAAACATTTTCATCTAATGTAACAGATGTTAAGCAGGCCTACAGTTTAAATTAAACTAATGTAAAAACTTAATTTACTGTACAAGAATACAGAAGCTGTCTTGTACTATGATACGTAAACATAACATTAAAAATAAAAAGTATAAAATATTTGTCTAACAACATTTAATTGCATAGCTCGTTTAAGTATTCTAATTAAGGTTTACATTTTAATGCTGGACCAGTCTGCCTTGTCCATAAATAACAGAACGAAAATATGTTCAGGATCTCTAGATTATAATTGTGGTTAAATAGTGTTGAAATGAATGCCATTGTGTATACAAAATGTACAATCTTTCAAAAGACAGATGGTTCGAGGGTTTATACGCATTGTGTAGAACAGGAATATCACTGCGATATTTAATAAATGTTTTTTTGTCTCGAGTATGAGGTATTTAATTATAGTAAACTGAATATATATTAATTTACTTCATTAATTAGAAATAAATATCACCAGCGGAAGTATTGTCAATACAAATGTTGCAAGCTTTTTTCAGATTGTACAGTGAAACTAAATAATAAAAGAAATTTGCAACTAATTCTTTAAAGAAAAAAATGTCAATTGTATATTTCATTTAGGGCATTAAATCTACACTAAACATACATACAATGCCAACTTAAATTATTATATTATTATAAAAGGAAACAATTTATTAATTTAAAATCAGCATTGTTCTTAGACTATTTTGGTAAGAGAATCTTTTCTTTTCATTAAGCACTTAAATGCAATATGTATTAAACTGTTAACCTGATCCATCTGATCAAATTTTTTTTTTTAAATCTGATCTAAAATTATTACGAAAATCACTGTTGTCCTCATTCTTGTGGACCCTTGTGGAGCTGAGAGACACAACCACACCTCTCTATTTTTATACTTGGTTTTAGGAGATTCCCCAAAGTTGTGTCCATAACACTCTGCCTGCTTGTGTTTTGTTGGTTTCTGATATTTTCCATGTTTGTTTTGGATAACAAACTTTCTCTTTGCTTTGGGATTCAAATCCAATAAAAGCCTGGTTGTTGATTTGTGCAAGGTATGTCATAATCCATCCACATTCTAAAAAAGAAAAGTTACACACTAAAAGTCATTTATGAAATAATTACAACCATACACTGCTCATTTTGCACTAAATTTATTATGTTTATTTTATTTTGCACTGCACTGAACATACAACAAGAAGCCCCTAACATCATGTTTGCTACCTTGTAACGATATATTATATAGGTATAAAGACTGGTGGACTGGGGTGTTCATGCTACCCAGGTAACACTTATACTGCATATATATATATATATATATATATATATATATATATATATATATATATATATATATATATATATATATATATATATATATATATATATATATATATATATATATATATATATATATATATATATATATAAACAAAAGTGAAAAAAAAAGACCTGGTAATAAAAAAAATAATAGTATGTATATAAATATTATAAACCTCTTACCCTATGTCTCTGAGTTAAGAAGGTGCCAGACAATTTTTGAGCAATTTCATCAACTTTATCAATTCAGTAATTGAACGATTAGACCCTTCAGAGTGACCCAGAAGTAATGCTTGTGGTCTGAAATTATTTTACTAATATCAGTAAAGGCATTAACTACACATGCTGATCAATACATGCAAGCAAAAATTACTAAATGAAAATTATTATTCACTTTGAAACAATGTAAACTTACAGTTGTTAAGTGTTAAGAACATTTAGTCATTTTCTGGTGTAGCCAGTATTTGGTGAAGTATCAAGCAGTGGGGTCCTTATAATTTATTAAAGATTGATATATCTCCAGTGGGCTGATTGATATACACAACACCTGGAGGCCTGAAAATAAATGGCATTCTTAGTTATTAAATATAATAATATAATGAGTGAGTGATACAATAAATGATAGCCAGATTAGATACTAATTTTTAAGTATCTCTGTTTATTTGATCTCTGTATATAAAGGATTGTGTAGTCAACACTATATCTAGCCACCTTTTTTATTTCATAGTCTTAAAAATATTGGGTATATATCAGACTTAGGTGAACTGATGAATGTACTACTAACTTGGCTTTATGTTTAGCAATAGTGTCCTCAACCATTTGCCTACTCTGTCCTCTATATGATAATATGAGTAGTGTTGATCATTAAGTATGGCTTACTAATAGTACCATCTTATCGCTGTTGGTCATGAAATTAAGTGTTGCTCTGAGGTCTCCACACTACTATTTACACAACTTACATCTTATTCATCAAAACATGCATTAGACTGGAATCCCCAGGGAAAAAGGAGGGTGGGCCGGCCAAGGAAAACATGGAAGAGAACGGTTGAGGAGGAGGCGAAAACAGCTGGGCTCTCATGGGCACAGATTAGAGGAGCAGCCCAAAACCAAGTCCGCTGGAGATGTGTGGTTGCAGCCCTTTGCTCCCCAGGGGCCACAAAGGAGTGATGATGATGACATCTTATTCTCCCATAGGGACCTGTAACAGTAATAGAAATTTGAATGACAATCTTGAATCAATTTAGAATTCTAGTTGACTAATTTTTTTCAAAATTAATACCTATCAAAATACACTGTTTAACATGTAGAAATTTGTTCTATAATTGTGTCTACTGTTCCTCTCTCTCTTTCTCTCTCTCTCTCTCTGAATTAATTAATAAAGACAGTTTCAAATCCTTACACAAATAGGCCTAGAACAATAAAATTAAGTTTTTTAAAAAGTTAAAGTGAATGATTATTTATTAATTTATAAACATTTAAGCCCCCCCCCCTTTCCCTGTGCGTGATAATTATACCTAAAGTTGAAAACCAATAAATACATCGATCTATCAATAATCAATATAACCCCAAACGTACTTGCATACTTTTCAATACAAAAAAAAAAGTGCTGTCAAAATTAACCGCCCTCTGATTACGATTTTTAGTTATTTAGTATTATTAGAATCTAGATCTATCTAGATCTATCATAAAGGAGATTATTGTAAAATGTAATTATAGCCTAATGCCAAAATAAACAGAATATAGACTCTAGTATTATTAATATATAGATCTAGACTAGATCTAGGCTCATTTTATTACCTCAAATAAACTACCTTTTATAACTTTTATTTGATGACTTAGGCCCATAAAGTTAAAGTTTCCAACAAAAAAATACGAGTTTTCCAGATTCTGCATAAATAGTTATACTACTTCTCACTGTTGAACTAAAATGGCTACAGTGGGCCTACCTGTTTTACTGTGACTGGATACAAAGTCTTTTGTTAAGAAAAATGGCGCAGGACCGGGATGCTGGCTTGCGAACAATAGGAAGGAATGTGAACAAAGGGACAATGGGCGACAGGGGGCCGGTGGCAGTAGCGCACACAATTTTAAAAAGATTAACAAAATGTTTAACACATGCAACGTAGTCTGTTATTGATGCTATGTTTACATTAGAGCATGATATTAAAAGATAAATTAATTTTAGTTAACATATATTAAGTTTAACAAGCATATTTAACTAAAATTTCTGCAGTGAATCCATAAATCAGTGTAATCTTGGCAGCCAAGGTAAAAACGGTTAAATATCAAGGTATCAAGGGATGCAAGCATGTACAAATCTTGGCTGTACCCTGGCGTAAGCTTGTCCAATGTTTGGCCATGATTACAACATTGGGCCAAGGTTGGGCCGACCCTGGTATTACATACTGTGTTAGCTGGGTAAGACAATAAAAAAACACCAGATTTTATGTTAGTCAACTTTAAGTACTTTGAAAGTATTGAAATTTTTATTTTTAGTTATGTGCCTTCCTAATAAATTATATTAGCATGAACGTCTTTGACCACACCCACTGCAAGGATGTTGTTTAAAATTATGACTTATGTCCTAACCCTACTAATATAAATTTGTTTATGTATGAGTATAGACATATTACTATATAGTTTACAATTAAATAGTATCAAAAATGTATATTTGTGATTGAAATGTATAAGTGCATAGACTGATCAGATAGACACAGTTATATAACTTAAATTTAATGAACTCAGAATTTAAAGTGTCATAACAGTAACAGCATAACATAAACACAATTTATTTTTTATAAGATATAATAATTATAATTACATTAATTTTAATATAAAATAAATAATTTTATATTATTACATTGACATTGAACAAATAAAAAATGTAGGGCAAAAGGATGGTTATTTAATTATAAATTAATATATATATTTATATATATACTAGGCTATATATATAGGCTAACTATATAGTATAGTACTATACTATACAGATCTATATTATTATTATTTAATATTAATCAAAACTAGTAGGCCTACTACCACTAATAATAGTTTTTTTATAATACTAATAAAAAATAATAATTACTAGATTCTAATTATAGGGCTAGGCCTAGGCCTATGCCTAATAAATAAATAACTAACAGCAGATCTAGCTAGATTCTGCTAGATCTAGAATAATCTAGGCCTAGATATTAAAATGATATTTAGATAAGGTTTCAGTTTTAATTTTTAAACAGAACTGAGGTGTTTGTAGATTTGATGTGCAGTTTAAAATAAATACGTTCAATTTAGCTAATTCGAAATGACCAAAAAGCTTTTCGTTTTAATAAGTGGAACTGAAGGTTTCTTTTGTGATCTGATGATAAAACGGATTTTACCTATACTATTTTTAGATATATTTAACACTTTAGTAGGCCATTTCCGATTATTCGCCGGCGACTTTCCAGGAAGTCAATGGTATTAATTACTATTAATAGATATAGTTTGGCCTAGATTTAAGCATACTTATACTAAAAGCAAAAGGCAGGACTATTTAGTTGACCAATATGAAATATTACTCTAAAATGTAGATTCTATATTGCTATATTTTTTTTAAATTAGCTTTTTTAAAGCTAGATAATTTACTAAATACAGTCTACAATAATTAATTACATTTTAAAAAGTGTTTCCAACTTTCATTTTCAAAATGAAAAAACTAGACTACATACAAACAATTTAAGTCATTCTATGAAATTCTCAAATAGATCTTTAAGTGAGAAATTGTTAGCAGAATCTTCTAGATCTAGAATCTAGACGTCTAGCCTCCTGTTTCCATTGACCAGGCCAGTCTACCTTGATCTAGACAGATTCTATTATTTATAAAATGGAGTCCAGTTATTTTTAGTTATTTATTTACTAGAATCTAGATCTAATTTAGTTAAGTCTAATTAATAATTCTAGATTTCTAGACATCTAGAAATCTATATCTTCTGAATCTTCTAGAATCATTGTACATGTTATAATATGTACTAGATCTAGATCTAGCTAGACTAGATCAATGTACAATTGAAGATCTTTATAAATTATATTATTAATTTCACAATAATTTAGGACGATTGGCAATGTTTGGGTGAGTCAACAAACTACAAACTATAGTCGTATAGAATACTTAATTTAATAACTACTTAGTACTTAATTGAATATTTAATATTTTAGGATATGTTTATTGTAATATGTTATAACTAAGTATTGTATTAGTAACTTTAGTCTATACACTTAAAATAGCAAATTACTTAAATATATAGAATCTAATTTAAACTCTAGTCTAAATGAAAAAAAAAATGGACTGACCTAGGTCAGAGAGGGCAACAAATTATTTTTACAAGATATTAATAAATAGGCCTAATTAGTACCATTAGTCACAGCTCATATCAGAGGCAAAGCGAGGGGGGGGCGGGGGGGGGGGACATATGTCCCCGGGCGCCGACCTTAGGTGGGGGGGGTGCAAATGAAAAGTTCGAGGGGGGGGTGCAAATCGAAAGTTTGAGGGGCGGGGGGTGCAAATGTAAAGTTCGAGGGGGGGGGTGCAAATGAAAAGTTCGAGGGGGGGGGGGGTGCAAATCGAAAATTTGCTCCCGAGGGGGGCGCCAAATTGAAAGTATGTCCCCGGGCGCCGGGAAGGGTCGCTATGCCTCTGGCTCATATGATTATTATCTGTGGGAAATCTTATTCTTGCAAATAATAAACTAAAATTTACATAATACATTTTTGCAAGAACTGCTTGTTAATAATCGCCTTGTAGATTCTACTGCCGTAAAATTAAAATCAGAAATTTAAAGGTTAGCAATTAATTACTTTTAGGCCTATTAAATACTGATTCAATATGTAATGATTTAATTTATTATTATACTAACATGGACTTGACCTGGTCAAGCCAAGCAATGCTACTGGTACACTACTTAGAAAAAAAAAACAATAGCGCTTTTTTTTATAATTTTTGTCGCACAATACTCACTTAGAAAATTTGATTTCCAAAACATTTTAATTAACAGTATTTGCATGCTACCCTCAGCACATTTGGAACAATAAAATGATACTTATGTCAATATTAGGTAAAAGAAGAGAAACAACATTTTGGCTATAGTTAGCATGCATTTATCACACATAATTTATTAATTAGCTTGCAAATCAAAGAAACCGCTGAGTAATTAAGACTGTAAAGAGATCTTATTTTAAAACGTAGTTTTTCCATCAGTCACAATATTAAAAATAATAAGTCTACATAATTTCAACACAATAAGGAATAGGCCAAAAACTGTCAATAATAACTCAAAAGTAATTTATAGGCCTACAATATATAAAACTTTTTATATCAAAGGATAAATGATTATTTGTTTGCCTTTTATATGATAAATGGTCCTATTACTCAATGTAGAGGCAGTAGAGGTGGCAGAAGTAGACCCCATCACCATGGGCGGGGTCAAAGCAGACCTAAAACAAGCTCATCACCTTCAGCACAGAACAATGTTGGTGGGACTGGATCCAGGCATTCTGGAAATAGATCACGGTATGTCTATGTGTAGTTATTAGTCAATACACACATATATAAAGATAAATTTAGATTTTAAAAAATTTGAATATATATATATATATATATATATATATATATATATATATATATATATATATATATATATATATATATATATATATATATGTTCTAATTAAAAATATAGACAAAAACATAACATTTATGCATAGATTCCTACATGTGTACATAATTTATTCAGTATTACAAATTCAAAATTTTGCTAATATTTTCATTATAATCATTAGTACAATCAATAGTACTATAAGTATTTTTAAATAAAGAAGCCCTATTGATTCGCATTCCATTTTGAATAATTTAGTACAGAAATTAGGTATTGATTTGTCTAAAAGTAACAAAATTAGACCTAAAACAAAAACACAAATTTTACATTGGCAGAGGAAATCACAGATGGAGAAGCTCACTAGATGTGTCAGGAAGAAGCAATACAGCAGTCAGTGGTCATGCAGAGAGAAGGAGCAGTCTAAGTCTCCCATCAGGGAGGGACAACCAACGAGGCAAGGAAACTCTCAGCCTAAAGAGGCTAGAATCCTGGGCAAGAACAGATGATGCTGGTGATCTTGTCCTGTACATGAGCTCAAGAGAATCCTTGTTGGAAGAGTTCCTTACAAGACCTTCAGTAGAAGATGATTGGCTGATACTTCTCATTAAAGCAATTAACCATGCTTTAACTGCCCAGCACCAAAAGGAATCAATTAAGAAAATCCTGCAAGTTTTGTGCCAGACACGTTTCTTGGAGCAACATTTGGTACATTTACTTACAAATAGACAAATACAAGGCAACACATGGACAGAGGCTAAAGAAGTCTTTTCTGCATTTGTCAACATTATCAATGAAATTATTGATAAGTTGCCTGAGTATGCAAACAAATGCACAGCAGCCACAATACAGTTGTCAAGTTTTGCACGTGCATTTTTTACTGCAGAGGATGAGGTTTTACAAGTTATAAAAACACTTGAAGAAAAAGGGAATAATGTGCGCAAGTCACTCAAAGAGAAAGAAGCCAGGAAATCAAAAGCTGGTCAGTTTGGGGCTGATGACCATGAACAACCACCAGAAGATTTCATGTCATTGTCTGTCATCCCAGAGGCTGCTGACTTAAAAGAAGATGCTCACCCTTTCCTAAGACGAGCGATAACCAAAGGTGTGTATGAAGACGCCTGTCATTACCTGGACATCCAGTTTAGACTCATGCGCCAAGACTTTATCCTACCCTTGAGGCAGGGGATCAATGAATTTATTTATAATGGATGCAAGAAAGATTACAGGTGCTCTGATTTGAGATTATATTTTGACGTTCACATTACTGGCATTGTCTATAAAGACGGCATTGACCATATTTTACAGTTCGATGTGTCAAAAATGAAGGGAGTGAGATGGGAATTTTCAAAAAGATTGATTTTTGGTTCACTAGTGTGTTTGTCCAAGGATAACTTTCAGACAGTCATTTTTGCTACTGTTGCTCATAGGGATGTCAAACAACTAGCAAAAGGAATTGTTACAGTCAATATAAAGAGTGGACATGATGTTGCCTTCAACTCAACATCACGCAATGTGTTTATCATGGCTGAAACAACTGCCTACTATGAATCTTATTGCCACGTACTGGAGGGCCTTCAAGAAATGTCATCTAACCTGCCATTACAAGACTACATTATAAAGTGTAATAAAGATGTCAAGCCACCAAAATATCTGCTATCTTCTGATGGGATCCTGAAAGTGCCATACTATGATCTATCTTGTCTTTTAGTTAAGAACACATTTAATTTCAGCTTTCCTGTCTTAACCACAGTGAAATGGCCACCCACTTATGAAATGTGCCTGAATGAATCACAAAGACTAGCTGCAATTGCAGCCCTTACAAAGGAAATAGCTGTGATCCAAGGGCCCCCAGGAACTGGAAAAACATATGTTGGTCTCAAGGTAATGGAGGTACTACTGGAGAATAAAACGGTCATGACAGAAAAAAAAGGGAATGAGCCTGATCCAATTCTTGTGGTCTGTTACACCAACCATGCTTTAGACCAGTTTTTAGAAGGGGTTTTGGAATTCTGCGAGGAAGGGATAATTCGTGTTGGGGGCAAGAGCTCTTCAGAAAAGTTGGAGAAATTCAATATAAAAAACATCAAGCAGGAAGTTAGAAAAGGCAAACAGTTTGCCAACCAATCTGTTAGACATTCCAAGTACCAGTGCATGAAAACATTGAAAGAAGTTTCAAACCAGATTCAAGGATTAATTAAAACAATGAACAATTTAGAAACTTCTGTAGAACATGAGGATGTATTACAACAGTTTATGAAGCCAGAGCACTATAGAAGCTTATGTCGAGAAAACGCACAAAGGATTCCAAATACTATACTGTGGCTAAATGCCTCTAAGAACACACCTCAGACTGCTATTCCTAAAATGATCAAACAACACCTGATGAAGCAAGTCTTAAGATGGCCCATGCAGGCAGAAAACCTGCAGATAGAAAACTACATGAATGTTGTGAAGAGGGCCAGTTTGTACACAACTTGGCTAACTCAGTACAGAATGACATTATACAAAGAGATGCTTTACCTGTCACAGATGCCAAACTTCTTCACACAAGGGCAAATCATGAACCTGGACAGGATGTTTCAGCTGTCCTTTGTCTCAATCATCCCTGATCAGTTGTTACAGTGGGTATTGCCTGAGTTGTTAACAAACTCAGTTTTTGAGAGGATCTCCGGCATGATCAGAGAAAGAAAGAAGGAGTTTCCAGACAGGCTGGTTGAGTGCTGGCTCCTGGGGCTACACAGAGAACTGGATGATCAGCTGGATGACATCGCAATGCTGGCAACTCACCTGACTGGTGAAGATGTGGACGTTTTTGATGATACTGAAGCATCGAAACAAGTTGAGGAGGAAAGAATGATTGATGATGGTGATGATGATAGCGATGAGGAGGATGTTAACTATGAAAGCAAGCTGAAACTTGCTAAAAGTAATTTAGCATCGGTTATCCAGCGAGTTGAAATGATGGGATTAAAAGAAGACATAACAAATGAGGATGAAGATGAAACTGCTGGTGCTTGGAATCTTGTTCAAAACAAAAAATCTCTAAGTCATGGGAAAATCAGAAAAAAATTGTTTTCTATCAAACCAATGACTGACATAGAAGAGAGTAATGTTGATGATGTTTGGACATTGGATCTAAATAAAAGATTTTCTTTGTATAATCTCTGGGTACAGAAGTACAAGCTCACTTTAACTGAGAAAATGGAACAAAATGTAAAGATGTACACCGAAAAATACAGGATGAAGCAAGAAATCAACAGGGAAGAAACTTTGTTTATTTTAAAAAGAGCAAAAGTGATTGGCATGACCACAACCGGAGCTGCCAAACATCGAGCTGTTATCCAGTCCCTGGGTTGTAGAATCATTGTGGTGGAGGAGGCTGCCGAGGTCTTGGAGTCTCATATTGTCACAGCCCTCAACAAACAATGCAACCATCTCATTTTAATTGGAGATCATCAACAGCTGCGACCCAACCCAACTGTCTATCAACTGGCTAGGGACTTTGGGCTAGAGATTTCCCTCTTTGAGAGACTCATCAAAAACAATGTGCCCCATGTTGTGTTGAAAGAGCAACACAGGATGCGCCCAGAGATTTCCACCATCATGAAACATATTTACCCTGCTCTTGAAGACCACGCTTCTGTGAGTCTTTATGACCATGTCCGCGGGGTAGAGAAAGATATTTTTTTCATAAACCACAAAGCAAAGGAAGCTAGAGTTGAAGATACAAAAAGTAAAGCCAACACACATGAAGCTAAATTTGCTGTTGCTCTGTGCAGGTATTTCCTACTTCAAGGCTATGAACCAACCCAGATTACAATACTTGCGACATACACTGGGCAGGTGTTTGAAATCAAAAAGATAATGAGAGCATCAAAGTTTGATGAGCATGTCAGAGTCACAGCTGTGGACAACTACCAAGGGGAAGAAAATGAAATCATTATTTTATCCCTGGTGAGAAGTAATGACAACAGCAGTGTAGGGTTCTTGAAAGTGGACAACAGAGTCTGTGTTGCCTTGTCTAGAGCCAAGAAGGGCCTTTTTGTCATTGGAAATTTTGAGCTCTTAGCCTCACAGAGCAAGTTGTGGACTAAAATTGTTGATACAGCAAAAAGAAATCAAATCTTTGGAGAAGGTCTCCCAGTTTGTTGCCAGAATCACCCAGACTTTAAAGTCCTAATCTTTTCTGAGAAAGATTTTGAGCAGTGTCCTGGAGGAGGGTGTGGGAAACCTTGTGATTTCAGAATGGCCTGTGGTCACTCGTGTGGACAGAAGTGTCATGGTACAGACCCAGAACACAAAACTTACAAATGTTTCAAGCCTTGCTCTAAATCTTGTCCTGCTGGGCATCCATGCAAGAAGAAATGTTTCCAGCCCTGTAAGGATTGCACATTTCTTGTGCCAAAGGAAATCCCATCCTGTGGTCATGTCAACAATGTTGAATGCCATCTTGATGCTAGCAAAGCTCTGTGCTCACATCCCTGTGAGGAAATTCTAGACTGTGAGCATCCATGCTCTGGAACTTGTGGCAGATGCAAGTCAGATAAGAAACACCAGGAATGCAGAGTACCAAAAGAATGCATGTGGCCATGTGGTCATGTCTCCAGGATACCTTGCAATAAAAATCCATCATCAATTACTTGCCCCAAACAATGTGGGGCACAATTGTCTTGTGGACATACATGTAAAGGCACATGTTCTAACTGCCTGGAAGGTTTGATACATGTTGCATGTGAAGAAAAATGTGATCAAATCCTCCCCTGTGGGCACCAATGTGCAAGTCTCTGTGGCATTCCTTGTCTGCCCTGCAATAAGCAATGTAAAACCAGATGTCCTCATGGATCTTGTAAAGCTTCTAAACAACCTCAGCCTTGTGGACTAGCCTGTGCACCTTGTAAAGAGCAATGCAAGTACACATGCCAACATGAAAGCTGCACCAAAATGTGCTCTGAGTTGTGTGCTGGACAGCCATGTAAGGAGAAGTGTACTAAAAAGGTGCATAACTGTCAGCAGAAAAAGGGAGATAAACAAGCATGTAAAAACAAGCTGCATTCATGCACTCATAAATGTTCAAGCCTTTGTGGTGAACTTTGTGCATGTAACATCTGTGAAAAAGTCTCTTCTATCCCAGGAATTTCGAAACATGTGTCTGACCAATCAGAAGACACCTCTGATTCAAATCAACCAATCAAAAGGTTAATTTTAAAAATCCCTGGTTGTTTACATATTTTCTATGTAGATGAATTAGATGAGTACATCCAAAGTTTTGACCCAGATGGGACTCAGTACCTGGCTTGTCCTGTATGCTCTACATCCATCACAGCATGTAGGCACTACAAAAATGACATTAAAGATAGACAACTCAAGAGAGAGATAATCAAAACTAAATTACTGAAGGAGAATAAAATAACTGAAAATGATATTAGAATGTTTGAGAAATCACAAAGAATAATTGGAGACTCAATTTTTGTACATGGATTCAGGCAGATTAAGATCGATGCTAAACAAAACAAATCTGAACTGCTAGCTGCTTCCTTCAAGATTAAATTTGCTTATGTCCTTGGAGAAATTAAAACACAAAATGACAAGTACAATTGTAGCACACATGATGGTGATAAAACTCTGAGAAACATAAAAGATGCATTGTTCAAGGTAAAATATGGAGTGACAAAACAACAGGCAGATGATTTTACATTAGAATTACTTCGTCAATTTGCCACTGCATATCTTTCTTGGCTGTTACAGATAAGTTCTTGGGAATTAATGCAACTCTCTGATGACATACTTATCCAAATGAAAGAAAGCAAAGAGATTTTAAAGTTACATAAACCACACAGAGAAGATCTTGACCAAGTGCTTGGTTTTATTCAGAAATTAAATAAGTTGGTTATGGCGTCAGCAACTACTAGGCTACATGATTGCTCTCATTTAGAAAATCTTTGTAAACAAATGACATTGATTTTACAATCACAAAAAGAAGAGGTATATTTTTTTAAACTCTTTTTAATATTTTAGTTAAATTATATTATTTTTATACTTGAGTACTTATAATGTTGATAATTTAATTAAATAATATAGCGTATTGTGTCATCAATGTAAAAAATATAGTACATATTAAAATTTTAGAAATTAGCAAATGTAAGCACATATATTTTCTCCAAAAAATCTCACAGATGCTGAGTGACCTTCTGTACCCAGAGTCTTCTGAATTATCAAACTTGACCCAAAATCAAGATTTGTTTGACTTTGATATGGAGGATTCCGATCCTGATGATGACTTACATGAGCAAAAGTAAGTATTGAGACATTTTATAGTGTCTATGTAATTCACTATTTTCTTTTTAACTGCTTGTATCTTTAAACTTTTATGAAATTTAAAATATTATAGTCTCTTAACAACCTGCTGGGTTTGAATATTGTACTTTTGTTTGAGTGCATTTGAAGAAAAAGTCTTACACGTTGTTGATATTTGATTGAAGCCGCACCTGTTTTTGACATTTTGCTGTAATAAACAGCTCAGCCACACACCATTTTTCAGGCGTAATTAGCACACTTATGATCTGTAGTCCTTGAAAATCCCAAGACTATTAAAGGCCAGAAAATGGTATTAGCTGTGATTCTCTTTATCAATACAAATTGATAATATATATATATATATATATATATATATATATATATATATATATATATATATATATATATATATACATCTAGACTAGGAATAGTGTGGCCTAGCACAATTTATAATCAATGTAAATAATACTTGTAAATCTACTAAATATATAAAACACATAATTAATACAAAATTTATTTCATAAGTGTTAGTTAAAGATTTTAAATCTTATTTCCATAAAAATTCTACTCCAGCCCAACAGGTCCAGGCAGATTGTCCAGCAAACTCAACACACAGCCATTGGAAAACTTGGCAAAGTTAACAGCTGCAGCCAACGTTCCAAGTCTGGCAGATTGGGGAAAAATGTTGAAAAAATAACTGGCTCCAGGCTTAGGTGTTTTTAGCCACTCAACTATAAGCAGTTGTTTATATTTTTTATATTTTTTGATTTTGGAAAAAATTAATTTAGGTAGCTGTTTTAATGCATAAATACTAAAATTATAAAATCTTTTTAAAAAGATAATTCAAGTAATAGTTTTGCACTCTGATAGTAATTTAACTATGGTATTTATACTCTACTAGTTTGTAACATTTATTTTGAAAACTAATATTTCTGTTAAATACTTTTATAACATTTTACTTTTCTCCCGATTTCTTTTTAGTTTTCTTGTAATTTTATCAGTTTAGATTTTTATGTTATATTTTTTAGTTTGTATTGAATTGTTTTTTTTTGTCATTTATTAATAAAAGGTATTTTATAAAGTTTTTTGTCATAATTTTAGTAAGCATTAATTTTGATAACTGTTGCTCTGTTTATTTATTTTTTCATCTGAAACCAGACGTTAAATTGTTTTAATCACTATTTTTTAAATTTACATTTAATGTGCCATTAAGTTCTCAGATCACTATAAATCTGATTTGTTTAAATGTAGGTGATTCATTTTAATAATAAATTAATAAACATCAACCTAAAAGTATAACCTATATAACTACATTGTATAGTGTCACATGAGTTCTGAATCCTAAAGCTAATATTTTTACAATACAATTAAGTATAGCTTTTAAATATAGTTTTTACTATTCATATCATGGTCCAATACAAATATGTGGGAATGGCTAAACTTGATGACAATTTTTAAAAATTTCTAACAAGCGAATTTTAGGTCATCTTTGGTTAACAATCTTAATTTTATTTAGTCAAAATCAAATTTAGATTAAAAATAAGTTAGTGAATTTTTTTTTATGTAGACAATTTAAATAGTCTTACAATTTATTATAGAATTGTTTTTACACACTGTTAAATATGGTTGAAAAGAAAAAAAATTTCAATTACATTTTAAAGAATATTAAAATTAAGGCCAAAATTAAATACATTCGGAAATTAAGTATTTTAAGAATGAATATGATAAAATATGCAGAATATAAGGCAGTGAATTTTTTTTATGTAGACAATTTAAATAGTCATTATAATTTATTACAGCATTGTTTTTACACACTGTTAAATATGATTGAAAAGAATTTTTTTTTCAATTACATTTTAAAGAATATTAAAATTAAGGCCACAATTAAACACATTCAGAAATTAAGTGTTTTAAGAATGAATATGATAAAATATGCAGAATATAAAGGCAGTATTTTTTATAACAGATTTATTTAGTCTTTATTTCGCAATATTTTAATATTATTTTTTTTATCTTGTAGTTCAAATAATAGACATAAATGGCTGTATTGTTTTTACATTTAACACTTCTGGTGAATATTTCTACATGTAGTTTAGGATTAATTAAGTTTTAGTTTAATGTAGCTTGCTTTAAAAATATACACTATGTATAATTGATTATTTAAAATATTAAAGTATTATAAAATGCCTAGATTTTTCTTAATTTTTTTTTATTTGCAAAATGTGAACATATTTAAGTATGTGCAATGATGTAAGTTCTACAATACATATCCATCTGCCAGACTAACAAGCAAATTATGTTTTTTGTTTGAGATTTTAAACTTTTCATATTAAGATTGGTGCTAGTGTTAGGATTGATTTTAGAAAAGTATTATAGCATATTTTTGCAAGAATTTAGTTACATTGATTTTATTCTTTTAAAAAAAAAAGTTGTAGATTCAACTTTTATTTTAATTTAAAACATAATGATGTTTTAAAATTTGTGTGTGGTTCATTTTATTTTAACAATGTTAAGTTACCTCCTGGTTATATAAATATTATAAACATTATATAAATAAAATAAATAAAATAATTCAAATACTTTTATGTAAAAATAATTTGCATCATTTAAAAATAGATTTAATACTCATCTTCTATTTTAAATTTTTTTTAGAAATAAAAATAATCAGATAAGTTTTTTTAAGAGCTTACACCTTTTGGTAAATGTTGGCAGAAAATTTCTAACAAAACTGAAACTCATTTTACGACTTTAGTCTGTCTATGATATTTTATAAAATAGTACTTAAAGGCAAAATAGAAAACATTATACAATTTTGGTCTCTAAAAGATCTACTCCGTTGAATCAATAGGTTCTGGTTAAAAAAATTCTTTACTTTATTTTTAGAAAATGTCACAATTTTTCAGAAAACTTACCTGAATAGTTAATAATCCAGTTACTGTTTTAGAAAAAAAAAATTCCATACCCAAACTTGAATAAATTGTATTTGTGTACTGATTTTCTATTTTAAAATCAATATAATGTTTTCCAAATGTATATAGAAGTTTATTAGAGAATATATGTTTTAAAAGAAAATACTCTTTAAAAATTTATATAGGCCTAAATAAATAAATTATTACACATGGAACAATAACATTCCACTAGTTTATAGTTTAGAAAAGCATTTAAAAAAACTCAAAGATGCTTTAATAGAAATCATATTATTATTGCCATGCAAAATATTAACTTCTATGTTTTGTCCTATAAAATAACACATTTTTTTTTGTTTATTTCTGTTGTACCAATTTTATATTTTTATAATTCTGTTCTCTACCCCTTTAATGTAGTTTCTATTATTTATATGAACATTGTTTTTTAATACTGAAAGCTAGAAATTTTTTTTAATAAACGTGAAGGACTAAAATTTATTTCAATATAATTTTTACAGTATTTTATTTCTGTTGCAACAATTTTTTCTAAAATATCAGGGTTAAAAAATACTAAACATAGTAAAAATAGGACTATTACAGGAGAAACATAAATCACATTCTGACTTTTTTAAAGGGAACTTTTCTTTCTGAATTTGTTTATTTATTTTTTCGATATTTGCTTTAAAATGCTATTTTGTTTACACCTTACAGCAATATAGATTGCTCGTTTGTTTTTTTATGATTAATATTCATAATATTTTTAGAAAAGACAATGGACTTACCTAGTTGATGAGAATCCTTCCATCATTATTGTTTCCATGGATAAAAAACATGTTTTTTTAGATGTAGCAATCAAAGCAACCGTAAAAATAATAAAAATAAAATCCTTAACCCTGCAAATCATTCAGAAATTTAATATTTTTAGAATCAATGTTATAGAAGTTGCAAATCCAGACAACTTTAAAATAATTTTCTTAGTTTGAGATTACTTTTCTATTTATTTTCATCAAGCCAAAGTTATAACCTGAAGTTTCACTTTCACTAGACAAACACTGATTGGCTGTAAAGGAACTCATTGCTTGATATTCTGAAAACCCCAGAAAATTTTTGTGATAAATGAAAACAAACAAATTGTTTTTAGCTTTTTTTTTCAAATTTGGATGGTTACCGAAAATGCAAAAAACATCATTTGCATCCAATCTTTAATTAAGTCAACAAAAATCAAACACTCAGATTTTTATAACATTTATTTTAATAACATTGTAGATAGATGATTTTTAAAATAGTTAATAGGCCTTTTGAATACTTTTGAGACTACTCTCGGTTGTGTCCATTACATATATAGTACAAACATTTCAAAAGTATTCATTACCTTAAGTCTGACAGATATAGATCTAGTACAAACATTCCAATAGTATTTATTACCTTCAGACTAACATATAGAGTACAAACATTCCAATAGTATTCAATACCTTCAGACTAACTAACTACAAAAGTCTGAAAAATACCTGTCAAATATTAATTGTCAACTCATTTTATTTTCCAAAATTAGAAAGCAACAATGTTTGTAAATAAGCACTAGTAAAAGAAGAGTGAAAATACACTAGTAAAACAACAGTGAACACACCTCATTTTTGTGTGCAATTTTTTTTCTTCTGGCAATGATTGTGTGCAAATTTATGTTACTTGTTCTAGAATTTAAAAAAAAAATTGTTTTATTTCTATGGTTGTTGTTTTTAATGTTTTTTTACACTTGGTTTTAATTGTGAATAAAAATATACACAAAAAATATTTTTGTTTTCCATCTTATTTCTTCTACAAGACAAACAACCTCTCACTGTTTTGTAATGAATTTTTTATCCCAAAAATATAGAAATGATACATAGAAGTATTTTATCCATTCAGTATCTACTTGGCAATAGAGCAATGTTGTAAGGTTGTACTAGAACCAGATTAGTACAAATAGTAGCTGCAGTGAAGTTAAAAAGTAGAACCATAAATAGACCCCCAAAGTCTGAATAGCTAACCTTAATTAACTTTATATATATATATATATATATATATATATATATATATATATATATATATATATATATATATATATATATATATATATATATATATATATATAAATATATATATATATATATATATATTTACATATATACATATATACATATACATACATATATACATGTGTCAAGTATATATATATATATATATATATATATATATATATATATATATATATATATATATATATATATACTTTCAAGTATAGAATCCTAACTCTAAACAAATTATGCATATATATGTATTACCTTAATCCTAACCTTAAGAAAAAGACCAGAACCTAAGCGTTAACCTCAGCCTAAAAATTAACACAAAACCAAAACAAACTCTAGACATTGGTTTAAGCCTCACCTTGACTCTAATGCTTTTCCTAACCCTAACCCTAGCCTTAGCCCTTATCGTTACCCTTACCCTTACCCTAACCCTAGCTGTAAAGCTGTGTCAGGGGGGGGGGGGGGTTATTAATAGGGGGGTAATTACTCCGGGGTAATGTCGAGGGGGGATGTTGGAGGGGGGGTAATTGACGTGGGGGGGGGGGGGGGTAATGCCCTGTTCCCAATTGACACATCTTAGTTAATATTTTAGGAAGAAAAATATTTTTTTAAAAAAGTGCAATAAGCTTAGGGGAAGGGGCTAAAAAGGTATGCAAACATTTTAGGGGAATGTAAGAATTTTTTTGAAAATGTCACATTGTCATTTTCTTGCATTGTTCAATTTCATTGGTTCAAAATCTACGTTTATGCTCCGAACATGAAAGTAAATATTGCCATCTGTCGTACTCTTTTCTATAACATTAAATTGCCCAGTGAATAGAGAATCAATCATTCATTTCTTAATCAAAATATTGACGAAAAAAAAAAAAGAAAATGCTATAATACGAAACAGGTACACGCAAATAGATGCTGAGGTGTAAGAGTAAAATAAGTTTTAAGATTACTAATACTTTTTCTTAGAAGTGCACATGGACGTGGAAGTATCCAAAATTGACAAAAAAAATATTAATGACACAAAACTTTATATAAACACGCTTAAAAAAAGAAGCTGTTTAGTCATCGCCATTCGGAGAATTCTCTGAGTAGTACTTTGATTGCTCATCTTTCAAAACTTGATGACAATTGTGATGCTAAATCTGGTTGGGCCTCTTGCTGGATGATGTCGCACAACATCTAAAAAAATGTAAGCCTGGTGTTTATGGAGGTATCTATAAGTTTTTTGTAAAAAAATCTTATATATAAATATATGTATATATATATATATATATATATAATAATATATATATATATATAATATATATATATATATATATATATAATATATATATATAATATATATATATATATATATATATATATATATATATATATATATATATATATATATCATATATATATATAATAAATAT